TTAAAAAGTGATTCGAAATTATAAACAGTGTACAAAGTATGTGAAAAGAACAAACTCTCTATTCCAAATTGAGACCACATTTTATTTGTATAAGAAACGAGAGAATATATGCATTCCAAATTGAGACCACTTTTTAAATCTAATTAATAATCATAAAAAAAAGTGGTCTCAATCATGAAGCCTCGGTGGTAACGTAAGCGATAGAAACGACAAGTAAATAACCAACACGCTCATCTATCTCAAACTTTGATTATTAATTGAGCATTTATTTTAAGCTTTTTCGTTCTTATTTCGAAACATACTATATTTATCTGCTCGTTACTAAAATAAACGGTTCATTTTGTATCACAAAGAACAACTTTAGACTGAAAATGACGAAAGAAAAGTTTGGACGATTAACATGTTTTTAGGTACGTCGTCTGTGTTCAAAGAAATTCTGAAGTTCTTTTTATCTCCTGTGATACTTTTCTTATGTACTGTCTGCAGTGCACTTTTATTCTTTGGTATTGTTCGATTCGACCAGCATAGTTGACTACTTCGTGAACTGTACTACCAAAAAAAAATATGGTGTATGTCTTGGCTGAGGTTTTTATATATCGTACACAACAAAGCAGACAAAGCGAAGTATCTATAACATGTGTTCTATACTACTACCAGTCAGATCGTCGTCCACTACAGTAAAAAGAAATATTGGCCGAATGTCGTATATATAAAAGAGCTTAATAATTTTTTGTCACAAGTTTCGATATAGCGTAACACAAACGTTCGTAACGTTGAAAATTCTTTATCGTTTAGGTCAATTTTTTTTACTACATTTAAAATCGTTTAAAAATAATCGTTAGCAAACTTGAACAATGCCAAGCGAACGGAAGTAGGTGCGAAGACACTAGTAAAATAATCTGCAAAAACACCGTTTCCGTATTTAGACGTCCACAAAATATAACTGACAATGATTTTATGTCGAGTATGCTTAAATTCATGACAGATAAAGATGATATCGAATGGTGGTCGTCACTGCAGACACCAACAACACCCATAGCCGAAAAGATTTGGAGTGTACCAATTACAGAATGGCCACAGAGTAACAACGGCGATATAGCAAAATCTCCTTTTAATGGGCAGAAATTGATAATGCGGGAAGCTTTGACAACACCAAGAACCACCGCATCTTCACTGAATAATCTTAATATTTGTCCGTTAGGAAAAATACCTTATGCTACACCACTTATTTCGACCAGCGATCACGATTCACCATTCAGTAAATGTCAATTTCTCTTGATCTATACAAATTTCATTTAAATTTCTATATTCTAGGAAAAGATATGCGTTTGATGCCGTCAGTTAATCAAACACCTGATGATTCAGGTTCAAAGTCAACATTATCTTATTCGAACCTCGCTTTCAATCATTTGACCCTACCATCATCAGCAGAAAAAGTTGCCCGATCAATTTCACCATCGATATTATCAACACCAAATAAGAGAACAAAATCATCGACAGAACTGAATACGGATATACCAGAGTAAGTACTCTCTAAAGAAATCCGTAACTTACAAAATAGATAGCGGTTTCTATTAGGAGCACACATCAAAACTGATGTACGTTTTGCAATGGGACATGTGATACTTGAAAAAAGAATCTAGTCTTAAAGTTGAGAAGCCTAAAAAAGGTCTCATTACACTTCTGTGATACCATTACTACTACTATGCTTATATAGTCGATCGTTGCCAATATGGGAAGTAGCTGCACTATTAATGGAGCATCAGGATGCGACGTGTGCATTGGTGAAACTCATACAAGAATATCAAAGTCGGTAAGTGACTTTTGTCCTGTCATTCTTATAGTGTAGAAAATTGATAGTATGGTTGAATTTAGATTTCAAAAGAACTTACATGTCAATGAATTGTATACTATGAGAAATATGCTTGATATTCAGGATTTCCGTGGAAATCGTACAGTTAGATTATTACCACGATGTGCAGAGATGTTGAAAGAACTACGCTCTGGTGGTGTAAGTGAACACATCTAATACTAATTAAGGAAGTAAACATTTTTTTTTCTCTGTTTTTTTATTTAGGTTGTTTTGGAGCCAGCATTTTGTGAACAACACTGTCCGTCGAATTATGTTGTAAATGCCGATTTAGAATTACCATTTGTCAAATTATCGTTAGATAAATTTTCTGAGGATGTTCGATGTCTATTAATAGAACACAGTGGTTCCTTACCATTAGCAAGGTGAATCTCAAGAAAAATATAATAAAACCTATTAAACTTTCTTTCGTCTAGTTTTCCATTATGTTATGCCCATCGATTTGAACCATTATCGGATCATGATGATGGTATTCCATTGGAACATTTTATATCCTGCATTAAAGATGTACAAATTGTCATGTGTGATGGTGCAATTAAAAAAGTTCAATTTGTAACGGCTACAGGAGTACTGAACGGCGTTGATACGACAGGTAAATTTCGTTTGTCTGTTGAAATATCATAAAATGATTATAACCCTTTTTGTAGTATGTTCTGAAAATAATGATGCTCAACAACGTCTTCAGCAATTTGGTCGTGAAGTTCTTGATTTATTAAAACAACAAAGTCCACATTGTCGATTACCTGTATCAAAATTTGTTTCAAGTTATCATCAGTATTTTAGCAGACAATGTCGAGTTGCCGATTACGGGTATACAAAAATCATTGATTTATTAATGGCAATTCCAAAAACTATTCAGGTAAATATGACCATCTCTTTTTTAAGGGAAGTTTATATTTCTTTTGTTTCAGATTCTTGGAAATGGAAATAAGCGAATAATAACACTAAGTCATCGAAGTCAAGTGAAACGTTTTACTAACGATCTTGTTCGTATGTTAAAAAATAAACCGCAACGTTCAATTCATATTAGCGAAATACCAAGGGAATATGGTAATCATGCTTCTACTACTATCTAAATTAGATTATACTCTGTTTTATTTTGTAGAAATGGCCTATAAAAAACAATTTTATATCAGTGATTTTGGTTTATCTTATATTGAAGATATGATATCAGAAATAAAAGACAACAAAGAACTTGTTATCGAATTGGATAAAGATATTATTAAACTTTATCGTAAAGGTTAATACATCTTTCTCAATACTTGATTAATCGTTCGTTACAAGGGAGTTTTATATTTTAGAGCGAACAGATTTAGAAATATTTGCAACAAGAAATTTTGAACGAGATGTTGTTGATATGTTACGACAAATGCCTGACTTTAGTATTCCATTTCAAAAATTTGTACCATCGTATCATCATCACTTTGGTTATCAGTGTAAAGTACAAACATATGGTTTTGCAAGATTAATTGATTTATTAGAAGAAATAGCCGATGTTATCAAGGTAAAAAGAGTACACTCGTTGCTGCTTGAAGATTATAGTAATAAAGTTCTAAAGCACGCCATATAATCTATCATCCTGTCCGTTCCGAGGGACAGGGCAATTCGAAGGAAAAAATATTCTAATGTTGTTTTTTTGAATTTATAATCCTTTCTCCACATGTTTATGTTTATGTATACTACTAAGTTCTTATTTCGAAGTATAGTAAGATGTATGAAACTTGTAAAAATCTGCTCTGTACCTCACGAGACGAAAGAAATGGAGAGGACCAGAAAAAAATTTATCCTCTAGAAGAGGTTTGTTGCTTTAATGAATCAACATTTGATATTTTGTATTCCATGTTTTATATCCATCTTTTTAATAGATAACCGAAGATAAAAATGGTGAAAAAATTGTTCAGTTAACCGAACCAATGATTTATCGTGCAATTTCATTGAATATTGAACAATTAGTTAAACAAAATCAAGGTTTATTACCGTTAAAAGACTTGCAAACACAATATTTCCATGTTTATCGTACTGAATTAAATCCTGAAGAATTTGGTGATGAGAATTTAGAATGTTTATTGATGAAAATGGCTGACAAACTTAAAGTAAATAACGGAGCAATTTCAAATTAGACATATATCGCTTATATTCTTTTTGTTTAGTTTCATTTTTTCAATTTTGACATTGTTATTGGTTTACAAGATGAAAATCGACAAACCATACAACTCGCAAAACAAGTTGTTCATACTTTAATGTTATCACAATGTCAACTATCATTTTGGCAATTGAAACAGGAAATGTTGACGAAATATCAACAAAATATAACAATTACAACATGTCAAAATGAATTAAAAGATTATGTGACGGTAAGTTAAGAGAGAGAATGAAAGGAACATGTTTGAAGTATCTTTAAATCTCTTGTTGTCTCTATGCTATTTCGAAGGTGATCGATCAAACTGTTCGTTTAACACCACCAATGTATTTTGCGTACAATGCTGTCATTCTATTAAATCAATTTGATGGAAAAATAACATATGAAGATTTTTTGTTGGAATATCAACGTAAAACGGGCAGTAGTCACTTGTTATATCCAACTGAATAAGTAGAATGCCTCTTTAGCTCTTATTCGCTATTCTCACGCCTTTTTTATTCTAGTTGGTTCTTATTCCATCATTGGCGAATAACTGATTAGCTGTTCGTTTTAGACGTTAAAGTATAATAAAAAGTACTTTCTATTGCTCTCTATAAAAAATTCTTTTTTTGATTCTAGGGCATTGTCTGTGTACATGTTAACGGATTTTTATTGAACAAAGTGCAATCCTACCTTCTTCTTTATTATTTATTTTATATACAGTAACAAAGAAATTATTTATCATTACTTTTAAGAAGAAGAATTGTTGTGTGAGCCTTTGTATGTACGAACAATTTTTTCCGTTTTTTCCACTTTCATGTGGTGTACAAAAACAAATTCTGAAAATCGTCTATTTTTGATAAGATTCTTCCCTCGCTATTAATTTTTGAATGCTTTTTAACCATATGTGTAGAATCGATCCAAATTTAGTGTTGTTTTTTCTACATAAGAAAACCTTGTTTTCTGCATAGTTATCATTTTAATCTTGGTTTTAATCTTCCCATTTTGTTTGTGTGTGCTTGTAGATTTGTAGATGTTTCGTTGTGTGTCTAAAGCTATGTGTCGAAACTTTTTCTGATTGTTTTTTTTTTGCATGGCACCTATTGCTTATTTTAATCTTGAATGAATAAATATGTTCAAAAAGGAAAGAGTGTTGATTAATTGTTCCAGTTACTTGAATGAACAACACTTATTGCTGTCACTCGTCCAGTTGGTGGGGAGAAACATGGAAAAAAAGAGCACTAGCATTACAAAAAATTTTTTCATGCACCACGGGTCAGCATATAGAGAGGTCAAAAACTCTTGTAAAAGTCGTGCATTACCATTTAGAAATTCGAACGTTAGAACGAGAAAATACCTCGTTTTGCTTAATGAAAAGAACTGCAAGTCTTCGAGGATCGACTGTCTACAGATACGCCTCTGGATAGATACACCATAGTTATGGATGTTTTTGAACCAGAGACATTTACATAATCTCTAGAAGTGTTTGCTTACTAATGACATCCTACGCCGTTTGATTTTTGGGACCTAAATTAAAAACTGACTATGTCGAGGTAAGTTGGCTCCTATTTGTCAAATGTGCTTTAACAGCACATCAGAGGAATATCGAGCTCCATTAAGGCTCTTAAGGAAAGTTTTGACTTTTATTTATTTTTAGCCTCCATATAGATTGACAATCAAGTACAATTAATGAACAACAAAAATTGGTACATAAAGTAATATGTAAAACGAAAATTTGTCATCGAAATTATCTAGAAAGTGCACAGATATATACTTGTATTCTTTTTTCTAATATAAGCTTTTTTAAAACATTAGAAAACAACGTATTAAATACTTGCAGTATAGTTTTGTTTCTATTCTACATTTTACAATACAAAGAATCAATTGGTGGAGTTTCACACCGTTGAGAAGGATAATTCATATTGCTGGCGTCCAGTTTTGTCGATAAGTCACTTGAGTTTAACGATGATATTTGACTGCGATAGTAACGATATTGATCATTCGATGGTCTATTCTGTTGTCGATAATAACTTGACGAATTACGATATTCAGGTGAAAAGTTATTGTTTGTTGCATTAAACATTGAATAGGCAGGTGATGATATTGAATTTTTTTGTTGAGCTAACAAATTCGAAATAAATGCCGACTTTAGACGTTGCGATTCTTCATAATTTGAATTTGATATAATTGGTGATGACGTCTTTGCTGTTTTAAAGTGGTGCGCTTGTTGATGAGCAGATGTCGAATCAATATCTGATGGCGAACGATTAATTTTATGTTCCAATATCTACAGAGAATGAAAACATAAGTTATGATCGATAATCCTTGAATATCTCCACAAAAAAAGAGTAAAATTTTTGCACAAAGTAGTGTGTTCAGTTGGTTTTGCATAGCCATTGTTTTGTTTTTGTCCTATTCTGTGGCGAAATTCTGCAAACCAAACTCATGCCAATATGTTTTCAAATAATCAAACATGGATATACATTAGCAAGCTCTTGTAGCGCAATCGGTTAGCGCGTTTGGCTGTTAACCAAAAGGTTGGTGGTTCAAGTCCACCCAGGAGCGTATATTTTTGTTTTCTTCTATTTTTGATAAATACAATGTTTTACATTGTCAAGAAAGAAAATGAAATCAAATTCAAATTAGATTTGAACTTATTTTTCACTAGAACAGCTGGTCAACGTTGCCCTAGGGGCCAAAATATGAAACCTTTCTTCCTGCATATACGCACAAATATATAATCAGTACTCACTACTCTACCTATCGTTTCCCTTAAACTAAGCTACAAGAAACATTCAATTCTCGCTCTAGTACGAATACGCATTTCTTTCTACAATTACTGGGGATCGTATTACGAAAAAATTTAAAGTCAAAGGGTGACTTAAGTCAGTCTTAAAGTTAAGACCGTAACCTTAAGTCACAGACACATTTTTCGAATAGCTCAGGAGTCAGTTTTATAAAAAACTTAAGTCAAAAATCGAACTTAAGTCATAAAAGACAAAGAATTTTTTGGACTTTTTTTTGGAAGTTTTTTTATAAAACTGACTCCAGGCATTTAACGATACTATTCGACGAAAACTAGTTTTTAAGATATAGAGAACATATATTTCGTTATTTTGTGGGGTTTTGTCTCGAGTTTGTCACTGTTGACAACGACATTTAAAAAGTAAACAAATCACCAACTTAAGCCTTTTCATAATACGGTTTAAGTCTCCGGATTTAAGTCGGTCTTAAACTTAGACTTAAATCACGACTTAAGTTTTTTCGTAATACGACCTCTGTTGTTGTCGTTGATATGTTAGATGATGAGGTTGACACTAACGATAGAAGACAAAAACTTACAAATCACAAGTCACTACGCCGTTCACGGCCTGTTCGTCCGACGGCCAGTAAGGGGGAAGGGGTAATAGTAAGTGCAAAAACAGCCATTTTGCCGCCAAAACTCTTTAAACTTCGTTTTTCCTTCTGGTGAAGGAAAGCCCTGAAAGTTTTTACAAAATATCGTCATGGTTTGGAAACAGTGAGTATTGAATATTGTCACTCACCATCTGATGATACAGTTTCATATTTTCAATTCCATTTTGTTCTTGTGTTTCATGTGGTTGTATCTGATTATTGTTCGAATATGTTGTCATAAGTTTTGTGGCAGCATCCGTTGGGGATAATGATTTTTGTTCAGATTGATGTGTTAATTTTTGTTGACAACTTACATTTGAACTTGAATTTTTAATCATGTCTAAACTTAGACTATCAACCACATTTGGAGGAAACGATGAGAATGTTTTTGGTTGTTCTCTCATGAGAATATTATCTACAGCTTGTTGTTGTTGTCGATGAATATAACTTTTTGAAGATGTTTCATTCAGCAACGCAATCGACGAATTAACAGCATTTGTTAGTGATGGACTCAACAGACCTGAGGATTTTAGTTTTGAATTATCAATTTGTCTTAATGTATCATGTAGTGGTGAGAGATTACTGTTTGACAACGTTGAAAATTTGTTTAGTAGGTCGAAGCGTTTCTGGTCACTTTCGACGAGTTGCTGCTGAGCCGATTGCAACGGACTGAAACCTTTTAAAATCTGAGCCAATCGTAAATTATTTTTTGTTAGTAGCTGCGATTGAGGTGATGACGAAAGTGTTTTGACAAATGATTTTGGTCTATCTTCTATAAAAATAAAACACCATGTAACATTGAATAAAAAGCAAAATTTCCAGGAAGATTCAGCATTTTACATACCGAAAATAAGTAAAAATTAGAAAAAAATAGTCAAACTACATCCACACTTTCAAAATCGAGATAGACCGTCTGTCCATATTATAGCTTCTCTCTGTATAGAATATAATAAGCAATGAAGATGATTTAAATACGCAGTTTAACGTTTTTTGGGCTTATTTTTGATTCTTACCAGCGCATTAGAAAAGCTAAACAGAGGTTCTGGTTACCTGTGATACGATCGGTTCTCGATGATATTGGCGATGAAGATGATGAATTTGAAACCTGTTGTTGAGATAGAATACTGTTCTTAATATTTGTTTCCATTGTTGTCCGTTGTTGAAGTTTATACAAAACAAGTAATAATTCTTCTAAACTTAATTTCGTCAAATCTAGTGTACTAAGAATATTAATTAATATTTCATCATTTTTCATTAGTGTTGTTGAATTACTATTGCTCTCGGCTATGCTCCTGTGATTTGAAAACGTGCTTTCAGTATCGGGTAATTTAGCCGTATTTAAGTTTATTAATAATTCTTGTATTGAGACTGTTATCGGATAGTGTTCATTTCGTCTATAATCAGTCACCCATACCATTCGAGTTTTAGCATTATAGTTATGATCATCTTTTCCTTTTTTCATTTGATTATCATTTTCATCGTCGTCATAATCCTCGTCAAATTCACTGATGGCTTCTAAATTAAAACAGACACGGTTGAGAAGAAAAATTTCTAAGAACTAGCCTACATACCAGCAACATTGTAAGTTTCAAACATTTGATCTTTTCTCAATGAATTAATAAATGGACCATCGCCATCTAACATTAAATGTGAATCAAAAACAATTTGAGATGAAGAATGGTATACTGGAGCCGTTGCGTTTAACCGGTTTTGGTGTTTGGTTGACAACGCGTCGCCACACGCAAAATATTTTTCATTTAGCATTTTTCTAGTTTTCAATGTTAAAATACTAAAAAAAACTTAGATCAGTTTTAACAGCTTAATATACTTGCTCTAGCTTTTTTGATACTCAGCAAGCAACACTTATTTTTACATTTATTAACATCAATTTTTAGTGGACTTCCAACTCAGAGCAATCATAGAGCGCAAGTTTATTGGAAATGCAAAACTGATAGTTTAGCACGTCGAGTAGAAGACTTATATGCTGACCCGTTGTGATGAAAAAGTAGCTCATCAAATGAGCACTCTTCTCTTTCCACAACGAGAGCGAGTGCGCACAAGCAACGAAGGGACGTGATGATATAACACCACTTTGTAGTTTCAAAAATGGCGCTAGATTAACCTTCAAGGTCAAATGGCGACCAATTAAAAGAAACGTTTCTTCATGAATCAGAACGATACTTTGCTAGTGCGTTGTCTATTCCGGTACTTATTCTAAGGTTTTTCTGAAACGAAGGTAGTAAAGGAATTTAAAAAGACGAAAACAAAATGCCTTGCTTTTTCGTAATGCTAATGCTCTTTTAAAATTTTTCAGATATTATGTACACATGGGCTGTTATAGGATTAACCTTTTTGAAACTTAAATGCTTATCGTCAAAGTGTTTCTAGATTATCTTGACCAAAACAGGCGCACTACAGCACTACGCGAGCCATAAGCCATGTCTGTTGCTGCATGAAACTTCATCAGAGCTGATTTGTATAAGTTGTAAAAACTTGGAAACAGGATCTAAAGATTACTGTTAATTTCTGTATGTTCGAGTGTGAACCAGTCATTTTTTCACCAAAACTTGTTTTCGTAAGTTCATCGCACAGAGCGCCATGTGTTGTCGTAGTCTTTTCAACTCGCATTCAAGCACAGTTCAAAATTTATAGTTCTGCAGAACTAATTTAGCACTGATGCGTACGGTACCGTTTTCTCTACGTATTCAAGAGAATATTCTAATAGACAACAACATAACGGTCAAGATACATCTAGCGTGAGTTAGCGGCAGTCGCTAGTTTCAAAATGAGTTTAAGCTTATTGTACCGCTTCACGTCTAGCTTTGAGACGTACTGTTCTCTGGCGCAGTAAGAAGGAGCTCGTGAGTACGGGTAATGAGAGACTGATTTTATTCGAGCATGTCTAAAAGAAACGTGAGACAAAACTTTTTTGAAATTTTATATGCCGTATGTCAGCACCTCTTTTTCAAAAAAAAGAGGTGCTGATAACTTATCGTTGTGCATTGTCCTTGATTTTCTCTAGAATTAGAAAACAACAATTAGAAGAAAAACTTTCTCTAATGTACGAGTAAATAATCTTTTCGTAAAGCTACAAACACATACGTGAACGAATATTTTCCGTAATCGGAAATCGATCAGGCGAAAAGAAAATCAAAGAGACATATCATGAGATCATTTATACTGGTCAGTTGAGGAACGTTTCAAAATGTATTCCGGTCGGTTGGTCGCTATTTCTCTATTCCTTTATTCCCCAATTATTCCTCTATTATAGAATTTAAATTCTAATTTATTTTATTTTATTTTGTATAATTCGGTTTCTTTGATTGTATTGTTGATATACTTCCAATGTATTCGTTTTTTTAGCAGACATCTTTATAAGAGCAGACATTTTTCTGTTTAAAGAATAAAATCAGAAAGTAACAAATTTTATATTTTCATCAAATGTTCATCTTTTTTATATTCAAGGAGGCGAGTGCTCACTGTAAACTTATTTCGTATTGCACGAACTTCGCGAACTAACATTACACTAATTAGAATAGACCCATTTCCATCTTTTATACTAGTTTAAAGTGCACGAGTTGTACACTATGCTGGTCTATTTTTTAGAAATGGATCCCTTTTAGTCTTTGAGAAATATGACTGTGAATATGGTTAATTATTGTCTGCTAAAAAAACGAATACATTGGAAGTATATCAACAATACAATCAAAGAAACCGAATTATACAAAATAAAATAAAATAAATTAGAATTTAAATTCTATAATAGAGGAATAATTGGGGAATAAAGGAATAGAGAAATAGCGACCAACCGACCGGAATACATTTTGAAACGTTCCTTAACTGACCAGTATAAATGATCTCATGATATGTCTCTTTGATTTTCTTTTCGCCTGACCGATTTCCGATTACGGAAAATATTCGTTCACGTATGTGTTTGTAGCATTAGACATTTGCCAAATGTGAAAAGATAGAGATATTTCTTATTTGATACGACTCTAATGTTTCTCTTCCTTCTACATACAAGTCAACGAAACTTGATTAGAGGAAGTAGTCCTTCCTAGGTGCTTGATACTTAAGATAGTACTATGGTCCTATGATTGGTACAATGGACCAGAAATAGACCTACAGTTGCTCAAGGATCTCTAATAAATAACGTTCAAGCAGTGAATTTCATATTGAAACTTATCACATATTGTAGCCTCAATCATTTGTAGCCCGATGAAAAGAGGCCAGGCTGAAAACTACTTTCCACTGCGGTGAAAGAACTTTTTCAAAACTTGCTCCATGTTTTATCTTTGGTACCCATATGTAAAAAGTTCTTTTACCGCAGCGGAAAGAAGTTTACTAATATATAGTTAAATTTTATAGACAATCAAGCAATGTTCTTCCGATCTAGTAATCACTTTGTATATATGAGTTTAAACTTGTATTTTTGCCTATGTAAACAGTTGTTTCAGGTACATTTAAGGTAATTAAAGTTGGTTGATTTACTGATCAACAAAGAACTCATATTTGAAGGAGTTTTCTACCAAAAGTGGTATACTCAAGTAATTTTAACTTTTTCGTTATTTCAATCTGGTTCGATTTCAAAAAGACAAGAACACATTCAGCGTATTTTATTTACTTTAAGTACGGCGTAGTCGGTTCCATAATATAAATATTTTCAAGAATATTATGTGAATATATGCTCCAGACTCTGGAGCATATATTCACATAATATTCTTGAAAATACGTACGCACAACACTGTTGTGCGTACGTTTTATCTTTCTTCGATTGTTCTTTCAATCAGTCAACTCCTAAACCACTGCACATCATGTTTATTCTGTAGTCTAGGTATATATTTATCTCGTTGAAGGTTTGTCTGAGTATCTCTATAATCACGTCAACAATCGGCGATAGAAAAGTTCTAAAACATTATTATTTTGACAATTTATGTTTTTAGAGCTCAAACATTAGAACAAGAACGTTATAAACTAAGTGAACGCCCAGAGTAAAACATACTTTTTCTGTGCTTGAATGCGTCTATTTGTATCTTCAAAGGGAAAGAAAAAAAAGAATTCCAATTGACATACAGTTTAAGAACTACTAGAAACATTGAAAGGATCGAACATCAACATCATCAACATTCCAATTGTTGCGTAAGTCAAATATAATTTCAATTTTTTTTCAAAATATCTTACTACTGCATTATCCTTAGTCTCTCTCTAGGTTTTTGAATTAACTTAGCTAAACGTATCACAAAAACGTTGAAAAGTGTAAAAGGGTAATGTAATCAAGAGAAGAAACAATTGGTGTCGCATGGAGTCAATCGATAATATATATATATATGAAATATATGTGTCCTTGTGTGTGTCTTATTTTCAATGGCAGTATCATGATGTTAGCAGAAAAATGGTTCCTTTTTATTGTTTCACAGGAAAAAATTATGAAATATATAATCATACAGCCACTCTAAATACGTTTCCTTCTCAAGTATTTCCTGTAATGCTGGAAAAGATGACAAAATTAGATATGAATGGAAGTTGAGTTTAAAAAAATGAGAAAGCTCTAAAAATTCCCAGATCAATAGAACATCTTTACAGTTGTTTGACCTTTGCTAAAACAAAAGAAGGGTGAAAGTGCTCCGTTTAATTATCTATATATGATAATAACAAAATGCGTTTTGATCATATCGGAACAATACGATTTTTCGAATCTTTTTTGTCAAGTTTGGTAAAAAAAAATAAAACGTTATACACAACAGGGATTATTTTCCTTATTTTTTAAATCCTTAGTGACATTAGCTCTCATTATATTTATCCTACATAAAAATATGAGAGACATGCAATATTCCGTAAAATTACCCGAATTTTCTTTTTACTAGATGAAAAACAATTAATTATTTATGAAAAAAAGTTTTTCATTTTCTTTTCTTTTATTCTATATTCATTTTCACATTACGAAAGGTATGATGTTTAGTTTATTAAATTGAGTATGGTTAAAATATATAAATAATAAAATAACAGGAACATTTTTTAAAGTACCCATCATTATTTCAATCCTTTTTATTAGGCTATTATCACGAACCACGGATCAGAGTATCTACAATCTTTTTAATTCTCTGACGAAAAATGTTAAATCCTTAGAATACATATATTCTCTTGCGATGAAAGTTTCAAGTTTAGTTAATTCGTTGTAGTCTAAAATGTAGAAGTCATTGATTCAGAAGATATTTTATCAATTTTATATCTGTATTTTCAGGACAGTTTAGAGGTATTTGGATCTCCATTTTAGTCACTAAAAGTTTTTTTTTCAAAAATAGGATAATCATCTGGATAGAAGAGACAATGTTCTATTAATCGTGAAAGTTTTAAGTTTAAGCGGTGGATATTGCTAGAGTTATATCAGTTTTACTAAAAACGTGATCAAAAGGGTATATGTTTGTTACATATCACATAGAGAAATATTTATATCGGCACATATTTAAAAGGCGTATAAGCAATTATCATGATCTTAGAACAGCAACATCGTTATCCAATTCTATCGAAATTTTTTCCTTTTCTTTATTGAGTAATAAATAATCTCAACAAATAATATCAAAATTTCAATCGATTGTATTCCACATTGAAGAAATAGTAAGCGTCATTATTCTTATTTTTATAAAGTCTATTTGTTACATTTCGTAGAAACATTAAAACTGGTAATTGATGGTGTTTCAATGACAAACAGAATAATAGAGCAGAATAGATTTCAAATAAAGAATATCAACATAACAATATCAAAAACAATGATACTGTATCGGGCAGTTGATTCTCCTCTTCTAATGTATATTTTACATCAATTCAATCAGTAATTGACAATAATTCAGCATCTTCTCAAACACAGTGATCATTTCTATTAACAAAGTGCTCCATTATTAAGAATGACCAATCATCCAAATTTGTCGGCGTTACTATCTTCATCACATCTACATTCGGCACACTCACCAACACCAATCGATCGATTAAATTATTATCTTACAGTGGATATACACTCGTGACGTATTACTTTACAATAACCAAAAGTTTCTTTGCCTTATAAAAATCATAAGAATAGCAAAAAGTATCGTCATCCTACAAGATCAATCTACATCTTCTAACAATAATTCCATGAAATGACAATAACTATGTTTGTCTTCCAAACAGTATCTTCAAACAAGAAGAAAAATGGTCAATACTAGAGATAGTGTTCCGAGAAGATCGCACAGATTCAAATTCGAAGATGTATTCAATGATGTGCAAACAATTCCGGGCGAAACATTGGGCAACCTAAGTGATCAGTTGTGTAACTATGAATTAATATACCGATCAAAGTGGTATCATTTGCGGAGCAAATACTCTAATCAACAAGATAATGGTAAATTATTGACTAATTGTCATCAGTTGTTTACAAATGTCAATATTTCTGTTGTGATTCTATTTCGTTTGACCACATTCAGTATTAGTCATATCTGAAAATCATCGTGACTACAGTTTAGTTAGCAGCTGGAACATTTATGCGATAATGAGCATGTTATTGTGACAAAATTTTCTTTCGATTTATTCACTATTAGATTGAGCCTTCCCCAATTACTCACAGGTGTTTACTTTTTCATTTATTGCTGAATTAAATATGTATTAGTATCTCAGATCATCCATCCAATAGCATTAATCACTACGTTCGGACGTACAATATAGTCCTTCGATTAGTCTTTAAAGCTTTCAGGAACGAGTAGTACATGGTTAGTGAGTGTGTATGAAGAGCTCAAACAATTGGGCGAAAAGAACTCTGCGTCAGGTTAGCTTACTGTCCAGAACTGTGGTTGATCTGACTGCTGTTTTTGTACACAAAAGACATCGGAAGTTGAATGTAGTAGAAGCGAGATTTTAGGGTATTTTGGTAAAGAGTCAGTAGTTAGCCGTTTGATTATTTATGGCTACGAGTGTAACCGATTGATAACCATAATCGGTACATGCCTATTAGGCTATCGAAACTAACTCTTATGAGTACCCTTCACCGGTAACACTAGCCGTAAGGCAGGATATTCTTATTGCTCAGTGTGTTTTCTGTCTTCGTGTACTAAAAGTTTCAAACGCAACTCATCACAATTCTTAAGAGTCAGGATTGGGACAGAGATGGGCGAGTTCGAGTCACATTTTTCTGTGACTCGAACTCGGACTCGAGAATCTTGATAAACTGACTCGAGTCACTCACGTGCAACTTTACATTATTATGAGGATGTTAAACATATTTGTTATATACTATCAGAGAGAGAGAGATTTGAGAATATTCTAAATAGAACATCGCGTCACATGAGAGGATTGAAGACCTAGAAAACGTTTTTTATGTGAATTGAATTATATGGTGCCCATCTTTAGATCCAACTTGCAAAAAAGAGTCGAGATGACACCTAGGAAGTGTTCAGCAGAATGAGTAAAAACGAATGCTTAAAACAACAGCAGTGAGTAGTAAGCTGTCTTGAAAAAATGAATCAAGAGGAAGACTACCACTAGAAAATGACTCGAGGTGACTCGAGTCAATTTTTTATGCGACTCGGACTCGAAGCCTGCTGACTCGGACTCGAATCTGGACTCGAAGCCTGCTGACTCGGACTCGAAAAAGTGGTGACTCGCTCATCTCTGGATTGGGATAGTTATAGCGAGTAGTGTAAAGCGAAAAATAAAGAAATATGAGTAAATCCTCAGTGAATTTTGAGTAAATGGCAGTGCGAGAGCACAATATATGTCTCCTTTTCTATTCTAGTGAGTGATCTCTCCAAAAGTGCTCATTCTGTCTTGTTGTTTGTATAATACAATGAAGCGAGTAATATCTAATAAAAATGATACGTTCCATATCAGCTTCTTATTTCTGGAATGCAAATGTGTTGATTATAAGAAGAATGATTAGTACGTAAAATTGATGATAACAAGAGTTCCATTAATTAATACATTGAAAATTGATAAAAGGAGGATATCAAATTATATAAATACAGCGTAACATTTAATGAAAGAAAATACATCATCAAAACAGCATATTTTCTCGTGCAAGAACAACGGAGTGCAGTCTACAGTTAACTGCAACTCATATACTCCGCTCAAGTTGGCTTAGACTCTTTTTAAGTAGCCAATAGCCTGGAAATGGATGAATAGATAGAAGAAATAAGAAGTTCAGCTTTTGCTCAGTACTTCAAGGTGCCATGCATATAGTTACATATCAACATTTCATCATTCCGAAATACTGATTTAGACATTAGATTCATAACCCTGAGCAATATAGTTGAAGCAAATTAAGGTTAAAGAGAATAAAGTTTATATCAGACCGATGCACTACCATTATGCTACCAAGACCTATTCTTTTCTGTTAAATATCACATTGACTTACGAGAAAGTGAAAAAGAAATTTGTAAGAAATTTCAATTATCAATGTATTTTGTTACACGTGAACTATATGAGACACATAACCTATTGCTTTACAAACTAATAAGATTCAAAAAAGAACAGTAGGAAATAAAATACCTTTATTATGCTCAATGGCGTGATAAAATTTCTACTTTACTTTTTATTTAAAAAAAATGACGAGTATATATGTATTTGTCAGATCATTCGTATTTCTTCAAACTTCTAACTCATGAAAGAGGCTTGTTGAAGAAAATATTTGAGAAAAGTTTACCAGTTTGAAAAAGCAGCGGTAGGATTTAGGGACGGTTTGTGTCTTTTTACATACGGTTAGAATCAAAATTAGACCATATAGTTAAGATCAATATGTGTTGATATATATTGTTATTTTTGGAATAAAAAATGTTTTTTCGTAGCAGGCAACTAGTATCTTTTTTTTTTCTTTTCTTATTCAAGAAGGAAGAATTTAGTAGACAATTTCTATTCTCCTGAATAAGTGGTATCTGTAGAAGTATTAATTCAGAATTGCATATTGTAGCCATACGCTACAAAGTTATTATGTCAAAAGTGAACTTATTACAAATATTTTTCTTTTTGTTTTGCCGATAGACACTTTTTACTCTATTTTTTTTCTTTTACCTTGTGTGTATCTATCTCAGTATACATACACACGTACAAAAAGTATTAATTGTTTCTGAAGTGATAGAAATGGAGAAAGAAATATATTATACCTATGATGAAGAAAATAAATCGATATCCAACAACTGCAAGTGTCGCCCATTAGAAGACTTTCTGTGCATCTAAGTATTAACCGCTGCGGCTGATGAAAGTGCTAACATCACTGAATAATATATATACTCATTTCCGCTTTGGCATTTATAACTTCCGTTGATTAATTTCACTCTTTTTCATTATAATTAGACTAGTACCTAATTTTGTTAAATATTTACTACATGTGAAAAAACAGATAAAAAAGACTGGAAATGCATTACATATGAGAAAATACATAAACTACTTCCGTTCCTTGACTGATGATCCGTTTCCGCCTGTCAAATTTTCTTTCCTTTTTCTATAAGGAAAATTTTAAACTATATTTACCCACTTATGGGGCAGCATGATCATCAAGTACTCTTATTCGTAAAGTATAAGTTGACATTTTTTTACCAATAAAAAAATGATAGTTATATGAAAATATTAAGGCGTAGGTTTATGGATTGAACGAATATTTGTTACTGTGTATTGCACGCTGCTGAACAAACAATAAAAATTTGAAACAATATTATATTTGATGGAGAATAGAGAGATAGAGATTGTATGACGTTAACGAAGTCTAACAGTGAGTTAAGAGAAAATGATCATATACTCCATTAAAACAATCATATTATTATTTTTCTTTTTTTACATTTATTGACATTGCTCTTTGATATGGAACTTTTTTAAATATTATTTAAATTTTTTAATGGTATCTTTTAGATTCATGCTGATTATTCTTGCTCATATTTATAAGATAATAGATGAACATTTGTTTTTATCATTTTTACAACTGTTTTATTTTACTACAAGAGCATGGTAGAATATCATGCAATATTAACTGATACAATCAATATTACATTTCAGAATATATTTAACAATAATTCAACAGTCGATAATGGACTTTTAAGACCGTTATACGTGACAATTTTGATTGCATTTTGTTTATCTTGTATTATTTTATTAACTATTATAGGAAATATTGTTGTTTTGCTTGCTTTATGTATCAATTTTGCATTGAGATCACCAACTCACTTATTAATGGGTAATTTGGCATTAGCCGATCTTCTACTTGGTAAGAAATCTTCTCCTGTAGGCTGTGCTAGTAGCAATGGTGTATATTTAAAAATTTTAGGTATTACTGTCTTACCATTCTCAGCCACAATTGAAATATTCGAAGGCAATTGGCCATTTGGAAGAACATTTTGTCACATTTGGTTAGCAATAGATGTTCTCTACTGTACTGCCAGTATAAACGGTCTCATGTTTATAAGTGTCGAACGTTATATCGGTGTTACCAATCCGTTACGTTATCATATCATAATTACTCGTGGTCGTACATTAATTGTTATTTGTAGTATTTGGATATTATCTATACTTATTTCTGTTGCACCATTTTTTGGTTGGAAAAAATTTAATGAAATTAAATTAGGTACTAAAACATGTTTTATTAACGATGAACCATCATACGTTCTATTCTCTTGTTCATTTTCATTTTATATACCTTTAATTATTATTCTATGTGTTTATACGCGTGTTTATCGTGAGGCTAATAGACAATCGAGATTTCTTTACGGAGATGGACATAAAAAATTAAAGGTAAATCATAATGAAGTAACATTACGTGTTCATATTGTTCACTCGACGACCAATGGACATCACAGTACAACAACTACCAATTTAAATGGAAAAAATCTCGTCACAGTGCCTAGTAAATTTTCAAGATTTAAACGAGAAAGAAAAGCAGGTATATATCTAGATTAATTTTATCATTGCATAATCTCTTTCTTTCTATTTTTTTTAAGCAAAAACATTGGGAATTGTTGTTGGTATGTTTATATTATCTTGGCTGCCATTCTTTGTCCTATTACCAATTAGTAAGTAGCAAATATAAAATTTCCTCATTTTTCTTATAGTGTATGTCATATATTAACTGCAACCAACTGTGACACATTATTCTTTTAGTTGAAAAACAAAAGGATTGTAGAATGATAGCAGTTATAAAAGGCTCTGAACAAGCTATTATTGACACTACAAATAATTCTATCATATAGTTCGCTAATGTTTGATATTTCTACACACGTAGAAATAGAAAACAAAATACAATTTAAACCATGCGATTATCGTGAAGAAGAATATTTTTGAGGAATACATATGACATTTACCATTCTCCTTTTTCCCAATCAAATCAGTTCAAATTTGATTGTTACAAAAAAAAAGACTATTCACTCTTGCTAACTAATAGATGTGGATTACAAATTTTCTTTTCCTATTTTGATGTTTAAAAAACAACCATAAACGTTTTTAGTGAATAGGAAATCAAGTGACAATGATCATAAACGAGTGAATGAATGAAGGAGAGGAAGAGGAAAAGTATGTCATTGAATTTTTTACTATTATCAAAAACATCTTCAAAAATCCACAGACTTCATTCATCAAGATCATATAGTGAATTCAAACAGTGACGCATCCTTATTTTTTCTTCTACTACGATAACTCGAAGAAATCAGAAAAGTAGTTGGAAAGGATGTGTGTGTGATAATTCTATCATAATGATTGAAAACTAAGTCTTTCTTTGCTTTAGACTGGAAACTTTTTTTAAACAATTTGCTGAAATAAAGCAAACATTTCTGAGTTATCTCCAGTCTCTCCATAACTTTTAATCATTAGATTGCATTCAATGTGTGGAAAACCGTTTAATAACCTTCCGAAAGGTTCCTGAGCAGAAATGTATTTTCGACGCAAAACCTAGGATCCTGTTCAAACTTTCTTGGAATGTTAAGGAGCATTTCAAAATTTATGCCGTTCACTAGGCCGCTCTGCCCGTTGGTCTTTCAGTTTTGTGCGATTGCTGAAAACCGCAGGTCTCTAGCACTTATCGTTATCGAGTTATTAAAGAAAAAGCCCACCTGCCTTCGTTTTTGGCGACTATAATAGTTGGAGAAACAATCAACTTCAAGCTTCATACAGGCGTGGGGTATTCTTTTATTCGATAAGCGTGGACAAAAAAAACAATATTGTGTTGTTGTCTTTAGTGTTGGACAATGTCGGCTATTAAAACTATATTCTCACTTAAATACAATCCACCGCTCCTAATATAATAACAATCGAATGTATTTGAACGACCTGTCCAACGGATGAACGACCTAGTGAATGGCATAAATTCTGAAATGCTCCTTTTTTAACATTCCAAGAAAGTTTGAACAGGATTCTGGGTTTTGCGTCGAAAATACATTTCTGCTCAGGAACCTTCCGGAAGGTTATTAAACGATTTTCCACACATTGAATGCAATCTAATGATTAAAAGTTATGGAGAGTTTGATTGAAGGATTTGGTTGAAGAATGTCACGTCTTTTTCAGTCAGAATAAATAAGACGATGCTCAAGATATATTATTTTCATCACTTGTTTTAAGGTTAAATATTATAGACTCGTTATTGTGAAGGTTCTCTCACATGTGCTCGCAACCTACTTCATTTGTGGGGGAAATTCTTTCTGAAAATCGATTTTCAAAAAACTTTGCCAGGTTTTCACTGGTTTGAGTTGTAATTCCAACCGGCCCCTTTACCGGCCGGACCGGATCGGTTTATCTTTTCTCAACCGGTTCCAGCTCTAGGTGGCCCATAAAGAATGTCGGTCTTAGTATTTCGTTAATATTTCGCTGAGTTTTCGTTGTCAAGGCTTTAACTTCTTTAAAAAGATTCGTCGTTTCGTTCTCTACAAAAAACATATTGAACATTTTTTATATACCGCAGAAATATAGGAAAATCGGTGAAATACTGCGAAGCTTCAATTCCCATTACTTTCTAATCCAAAACACAACGAAAAGATATTTATTTTGAACATGAAGCTATGCAACAAACTAGAATCAAAACGTATGTGCTGGGTCACGAAGTGTCGTCTTTCTTGTTGTGTATCAGAAGTTGTCTTTGAACGTGTTTTTCTGATACAAAATGGAGTTTTACTAGTCTACCAAAAAAAGGAAAATTTTCACCTTTCCACCTTGTTAGTGGAAATGAAATGGAGCTATCGAACTTTCCCTGTTCGAATGTAACAAAAGAATTAAGATAATTAGCTTTAAGATAAGACACAGCGGATCTCAAAATATTTGATTTTGGCCGATTTATAAAAATTTTCGGAAATGCCACAAAAACTACAGTTTGAAAACGGCGATTTTTGATAAAATCGATATAAGCAAAAATTTCTCCCGCAACGAATTGCGATCACGAAGAATTTGAAGCATAACCAATTGGTAGAGCTTTTCAAGGGCTACAAAACTGTCATTTTCTCTTATTCTGTATCGCAAAATATAAAGAGCAAGAATTGAAAAACTGCTTTTTTGGGTTAGAAAGTAATGGGAATTGAAGCTTCGCAGTATTTCACCGATTTTCCTATATTTCTGCGGTATATAAAAAATGTTCAATATATTTTTGTAGAGAACGAAATGACGAATCTTTTTAAGATGTTAAAGAAGTTAAAGCCTTGATAATAAAAACTAAGCGAAATATTAACGAAATATTGAGATCGACATTCTTTATGATTCACTCGTTAGAACAACTATCTTTGTCTCAATTCATTTATCTGAATACGTGTGTTTGAAACTTTATGTTTTATAAAATGTTTTATTGTAGAAGCTCTATCGTCAACTGATCCCGGTGTTATATTTTCTGTTTGTTTTTGGCTTGGCTATTGTAATAGTTGTTTTAATCCCTTTATATACGCATTTTCCAGTCGTGAATTTCGAAAGTAAATACAACCGTTTGTTCATCAATTTTATTTTACATAAAATATATTCTTTATTTTAGAGCGTTCAAAAGTATCTTACGATGCCGTCCGCACTTTAAAAAACCATCGACTATGTACAGATTATCAAATGCCCTTGAAGGAGTTCGTTTAAGATCATTGACCAGTTTTGATCTGTCATCAAATTCTCCGATAGATGATTCAGTGCATTCATGCCGTGCATCAATTGAAAGTCAACGACTTTTTTCATCACCTCATTATCGCTCTCAAAAAATACAAGAAAAACGTCTCTCGGCAGATACAATGAATATTCGAAGTCAAAATAAACATCACATACAACGTCAATTGTCTCGTAGCGAGTCAACTCTCAGATAGGAAAATAGATATAAAAGTTATTATAATTGATTCTTAAAAACACACTGAAAATAATAGTAAAATTATTATCACAACAACAAAAGAAGACCTGTAAAAGGCCTAGCTACATCAGAACGAAGCGTAATCAAATGTCGCATGGTGTTCGAACGACGGTTGAAAACTGAATACTTAATGCTGATAACAAAGAACTATGCAAAAAAAAACAGTCTCTCTCTGTGATAGTCACTGATTCACTTCTCAGACGAATCTTTCTTCGACAATAACAAAAAAAAACTCGGTATCCCAGAAATAAAGTGATAGTTTCTATCTTATATCTGGCATGTCAGGGACGCAGAAAGAGAACAAAAGTGAAAGAATGTAACTTATCTATCATCTAATAGAAGTACGATGAATATGGGAAGAGGAACTGATTTTCGATATGTTTGGTATAATACCGTTTTACACCCTTTGGTGATAACCCCTTGTTTACTAGATAACTCCTGTATGAGGATTGACATCCTATTTTTCTCATTCTTTTTCCTGTATTAGATTGTAATAATCAAAAGAAATATTGAAAAAGGTGATATTAATCAAAAAAAGCATTTGATGCTTATAGTGTAAAAAATTTGATGCTATACATTATTAGTAGAAAATATCCTATGTGCATACGGAATATCTCATCAATTTTTTCAAAGATTCTTACGCGCTACACGATACAAACATTTTTTCTCTTCTCCAAGTATGCTTTCAGAATTCATACACTTTTTTTTATGAGAGTATAAATGAAATCGCGCTAAATTCATTTCTATTTCCTAAAAAACTTGTCCGAATAAAATTAATAGTTCAGAGGTGAAGCTCTTAAAGCGGAAAGAAACACTTTTGATCTGACATTGATGACTATTTTCCCACGTATAACTTCTTGATAATAAATAAATTTTTTGACAGAAAAACATTGCCAAAACACTAACACTAATATTTTTTCGTGAGACAATGTGTGTTCGACAGTATCCGATATTATAACAGCGATGATCGAGTTTTTGTTGTCAGAAAAATGACATCAATATGTATTTGGATATAAAATTCATGCTGAACGTTAAGCTTATCCATAAAATTGATCGTACATATTGTATTCCACGGACTTTTTTTTTTAATAAAAAAAAATTTCTTGCTTAACAAACAATGGCTATATAAAAAAAAAATTTTTCATTGGAACAAATTGAAAACAATCAAGGTATCAGTCTATCAACTAAAGTAATCAAAAAAATATTATAAAACATGTACATTAATAAGAATAAAGAACAAAGCTCAAAAACGAAAGACAAAAGCAATTTTGTATTAGTCTTATGATTTCATAAATGAAATCAGGATCTTGACTAGAATAGAAAGCAACAGCAAGCTTACCCTAGACAAAATTCCCCTCCTCTCCCTCCCCAAAAAAAAGAGTACTTCCTGTCTATTTTCTACTAGGAAGTTACAGGATCGTAACATTTAGGATTCACCTAATAACTTCCTAACAGAATCAGTCCTACTAGGATTTCGCTTAAGTTTGTTTAGGATCCTAAGAAATTAAAGCGAAATCCTAGTAGGATATGTCTCGGATCCTGTCAAGATACTCATAGGACTTTTACTAGTTAGAGTTAGTGGTATCCAAGACAAAATTTGCTCAGCAAATTTTTGAGACCACAACTGCGCTTTACAGATTGGCTACCTTTACGAAAGAAATGAGAAAACGTAAAATCATAATACATCATTTCACCGAAACAAACTAATTGTTTATCACTGTCTTATATCGATAAATATTACAGAATCTCTATCTTCTTTACAAAACAACTGAAACCAGATTCTTGGTAGTATTTAAGGATGTTTCAAACCCGATTCGAGTTAGGTGGTTCACGAAGATCATCTGATATTAGTAGCAGAAAACACAACCACTAGAGACCATTAAGAGAGTAAAATAACCAAATTTAAAAAAAAATGAGGAGTTAAACTCTTCACACCCGAACGTTCAGCTTTGAAACATTCTTCTTAGTAAAAAATAAAATAAAAATAAAAATCACAAGTATTGTTCGAATTGCACAACTAAAATAGAGAAAGTATAAAAAAATAAAGATGCAGTCTGTGTTTGTACTAAAAACATTTCAACGGGATAAAAAATATCACAGAATAATCACCCAATATCAACAAAAAGATGCTCACTTGAATTTGAGTAAATGATATTTCTAATTTAACTAACAAAACGACAAAATTATGGTTTGACACAATGTGAATTCGTATCATAAATAATTACCACATTTCTTTGTCTAATCACGATCTTCGTTGTGCTTATTTGAACTAATGAGTATATTCTCTCTGAACATATATTTGGCTTCGGCGGTGGATTGGTGCTACAGTGTTTTCTCTCAATATCAGAATACTGTGTAATAGAACAATTCTGGGTGTCTAATGGATCTGAGTCACCAATCAACCAAATAATTAAATGATTTGAGTCACATAAGGTTGTTAAATATGGTGTGTCGAATTGAAAACATACAATTGTGTTAATTAAGTACTGTATTTCTTCATCGTACAATTTTAAGTGTGAATGATTTGATAATTCATCATAGCACAATACGCCCAGTAGTTTTTGATCATTATTGTAATGTATCGCTTTTATTTTAGCATCTCTCATTGTTTTTGATCCAGCAAAAGCAAAATAGCATTGACTGTTCTGTAATGAAGGCTCACGAACTGAATCTTCAATAGTATAATAATCGATTTTTGATTTTGTTGTGATATAAAAATTATTTCTATTACATGTACAAGCAATATAATCTTGGTCATTATCCACTACATTATCAATATCTTGAAAAGTTCCAACTGAATTTAGATCCAATGTACAGACCGATTTTTGTGTCATTAAAATATAAATCCTGGCAGATTCACTCCAACAGATGTCTTGCACGTGTTCGCTGATCCATGGTATTTTTGTGAGAGAAGCATCAAGGTGGTTGCATAAAACTAAATATTTATTATTACTTACTAGATCGTAATCATAAAGTAAGATTGTTGAGTCAGATGATGCCAATGTGTGATGTTCATTTAGTGTATGGATAATACGAACAGGCTGTCCCAACGATGGTATGAAGATGCCCGGTGAAGATTTTATTCGAATCATGTCAGAATAATTGATGCTTGTTGTACTTAATTCGATACTTTCTTTCAATTTTTCAACAACTGTTTGTAAATGCATGATTTTCCTTTGAAGTCCTTGCAGTTGTTTCTCTGAGATTTGTTGACTTTCAAGATATTTTTCAATATCTTCATTTGTCTTAGCTATCTGTTTTGATAGAGATTGCTTATTACTTTCGAGTCGAGGTTCAAGGTCTATACTGCAAACCAACTTTTTAACATTAGTGGCCACTTTATCAATTTTCAATTTTTCTGAATTACACCATAAATCGATCAATTTGATTAGATTTCCTTTTATGCCAGCAGCAGTTATTTTAGTTAACTTCCCATATAACTCATTCAAATCATCTTCACATGGATGTACTTGACTCAATAGTTGTTGAAAATGTTCATTAAAGTGGTTGAGGCAAAACCGTTTACCATCTTCAACGACACCTACACTTGACATTGTACATGAACTGATATGGCACGAAAGCATGATGGATCTAAAATCATTTCAATATTATTTTATCTTGCCTAGATTTGAGGACATTTCACATTATATCGCTGACAAACTATACAGGAAAGCCCTAAGATAAACTGTTACATGGTCATCGCTAATTACAACACGGTCTTTTGCTATTAATTGACTATAGTACATCAACAAAGAGTGGATTATTGTTTCAGATTAATAAAGAAGTTCATGGTCAAGATAATCTAACGACAGTTTGTTTTGGTGAATATAGGCTTTCATTACATTATCGAGAATCTGTCAGAACCCAAATCATTTTGCAGACACCTTCTGAAGACATCATAGAGATCGTTTGATAATTTCATCGGATTCTACATCCTGAATTACCTATGATTTTAAACTTTTATTGTTCCAGACCATTTCTGTCGAAAGTTATTTTAATTCTACTGTGGGTCAAACTGACATTGTTTAATTAAACCCTGCTTCCAGCAAAGAGAACATAGTCGATCACTGATAAAAAAAAGCGCGGTGATTTCTATACCTAAGATAATCAAGCAAATGGTTAGAATGGAATACATAGTCATCTACAACCTCATGATGTCCGTAAATCGAGCGTGAGTAGACGGATACCAGGTGTCCAAACACACAGACTATCGCAGAGCAAATGCCCCGCCTTGCCCTGTTAGAAAATTACTCATAAAAAGTTTTTGGCTCTGTCCAGGAAGACAGGGCAGGGCGTCCTGCAGTGCAAAAGAAAGTTTGTCTCCTTAACCTAGAAGACTTTATCTTCAAGAAACTCACCACAAATACTGGATGTCTTTCTCGTGCGTAACAGTCTTTTTTTTATTAATTATCAATTTTAGAAAAGTTGACTGTTATTTGTATTTTCAGATATACGAGAGATAAAGGGCACATACGTGGCCACCACGGCGCATGCACTGTAAGAAAGAAAACAGAATTAAGCGACCGCTGTTATCTTCATCGTTCCATCTCAAAATTTTACTTAAAATCTCAGAAACCAATTTCTCGCAGGACAACTCAAAGAATTTTTTATTATCCTGCCCTACAACAGCACAGGGCAAAAACTATATATCGCCTTGCCCGGCAGGACAGGGCAGAGCGGTACGACAATAGGCTTGCCCTGTCCTGTGATGATATAATCTAACTTTTCAACTTTTTTTAAAAAGATGCGCCATTAGATCTCTAAAAAAAACATATATCTAATAAAAAACATATTATTATTTATTATAGTATATAAAACTTTTTCTATGTAAGGATGATCATGTTTTATGCACACCATTCGAACCAAAGAGAATATTTGGTACCATAGTAACGCCTTTTTAAAAATATACTTGTGGTCACCGGTTCCCATCAGCAATAAGATATATGTCTGAAAACAGGATTTTTTAAAAACCGGAGAACTTAGTATCCTTACATCATTCACTCTTTCGGAATATATAGTTTTTAATACGCTCCCTCATATGAAATCAGAAAATGCCGTAGAAAACAAAATTAGAAAACCATCAAAAGCACGTGGAATGTGTCGCACTGAGCGCTAGTTTTGCTATGAAAGTCAAATAGAGCCAGGAGGGTGTTTCATAAAAATTCCTAAGTGCTCGTCTTAACTAAGTCTAGATTTAAGTCCCCGTTGTGTACACTTACGTGTTAATTTTATACACTTAAGCCTGATTTAAGCCTAGACTTAGTTAAGTCGAGCACTTAAGAATTTTTGAAACACCCTCAGCCTGACGTGCACATTTCTTCACTCGCCACAGTTTGCGGATTCTGATACAACTCGAAAAGCTCTCCAAAACGAAACATGTTTCCTCCATTTGTTCGTTCAAACCTTTTTATATCGAGGTATATTTTAGATGGATGTGAATAGCAGCAAAAATAAACTGAAACATTCGAAATTATGCCATGTAACTCAAAATCTAGTAGATATTATGCCATGGTAAGAGCTGTTATATTGAACAAAAATGTTTCGAGAATAGAATATAACGTTACACTGTAAACGACAGTTATTCTTAGTTTTATGTAAAATCGACTTTAAAAATGCTTGAGGATTTTAGAAGTTTTATACAATACTTAAAGATTTTTGAAGTTATGAAACCGATTTATAAAAGTAACATTCTTGAGCTTTTACAAAATCCAGTGACTGGCGAGTTTAGGGAAGTGGCGTCGGAGCGATCACTCCCATCTCCAGAATTTTCCCACGGAAACCGTTCTCCCCTTAGGATACCTTTTTTGGTTAAAGTTGTTATTTCTACTCTTTCAGAAGTCTTTAGAAAAAAAGAAAATTCATAATACCTCTAGAGACGTTGTAAAAAATGAAAATTGTACTACCTCAGAAGACTTTAAAAAAGTTTCGCTCTCCCTTTAAAAATCCTAATAAAATGGTTTTCATTTTATGATTTTTATAAAACCGTGAAGCATTTTCCATTTTATACAAAATCGATTTGCATTTTAAATAAAACTAAGAAATCAGAATGACTTTTAGTTTAATATGAAATCAAATTTAAAAATCAATCGATTTTTGCTTGATTTTAAATATTTTTTAGAATCAAGGGGTTGAAAAATGTCCAGGAGACCCCCTCAAAATGTTTTTATTTCAACTTAGATCGACAGAGAATTCAATTTTAAATAGTTTTCCGTAGTTTTTAGAGCTCCGAAATGTATTTTGTTGCAAAAATAAATTATAATAAATTATCAACCTTTTTTTACGCTGAATTAACATTAATAATTTATTTTCGATAGGAAATGCGAATGGAATTTTTTTTTCAATTATACCAATTGATAGAGTTCGGCAAACTGATCAAGAATATGTGCAAATGAATGCTTTAATATAAAAAGAAGCATCATTTTTCATCAAAAATCCATTTCAGACCTAGATTTTTATCGCTGTTTGTCACGGTATTTTGCGTTTTTCTCTACCATTTACGCTTCAATCACAAACCATTCTTAGTGCAATCGATAGCTCGTTAAAGAAACTACAAGAATATATAAACAATTGATTTAAATGTTTGAAATAACGGTGAAATCTCCCGCATAAGTTCAACAGCACTTGAATAATATGTATTTTTGCGCTTGTTATGCTTTTATCGCCGCCATGGAAACTGTAATCACAAAGCGTTAATAGTGTGATGGATAACCCGTGAAAGAGCTACAAGGATACGTAATTCGACGACGTAAGTTCTCTCTGCAATTCCAAATAGAACATAGTTTCATATAAAGAACAAAAAACCAGAACGTATTCGACAATACGTTAAAAAAAGCAAGTAAAAGAAACACAAAAACTACAAAATATTTGCAAGTCAATAAAACGGAGGTAAGTCAGGTATGCCATGCACACGAAAACGATATAGACAAGTAAATTCTCTATGCCCCCAATTTGATAATATATTTAGTTCAATAAAGCGATAGAATTTCTCAGATTTCGTTTGTAATTGAAACGTTTGTATATGTGAGAATGATGTTTGAGATGCATCATAGACAAACCTTCCAAACAAATATCCATTATGTTCAGTAATCGAATTTAATCCCTGAAAAAATTGTACGATGAACACACATGTTTTTTGAACATCGGTTCTCACGTACTCGAACACTAAAATCTTTTGGTGCTGTGCGTAATTTTCCATCGAATGATAAGGTTTTTGGAAGATGTTCCAAGGTGAATGCGGTTAATTTTACAGGGAATGCTAGTCGTATTGTTACATAACCTTTCGATCCTTGAAACGGCCAACAATCACCCGGTAATGTGCCACCCTATTAAAGAAAAATATTTATAATTTTTTGTCTGTAATTTTGTGTAACATAAAAGCTACTTTCAAAATTGTATTTGGTGTTACTGTGAGTCTCAGTATTGGTATCCCAAATATATTCAATACCGGCGATCGATCTATATACGTTTGTGATGTTCGTTCCATAATAACAGAACCACCTAAAGAATCAGTTAAGAATAACACACCTTGCACTTTTTAGAAGTTAAAAGAGTTTTCACAATCCAACCAAACATTCTTGCTACAGACACAACATGTTGAAAATTATACATTTCAAATAATCTGTAAGTTATCAATTTCAGTCTTCCCAACCACTTTAATGCCGTTAGTTACGGTTTCATTTTTGTGAATCACTTTTGATCATCTTTATAGATGAATGGGTGCTTGCCTGAATATAAGAATGGTATTCATAACTTGGTTATGATACGTCCGATAGGTTTGTTAATTTTAGTAAAAGTATTTCTCGATGTATTTAGCTTTATGGCATAATTAAGACATGTATAACTCTGAACGTTTTCTGAAACACTTTGATACGTTCTTTTGAATTGCAACAAAGCGAAGTATCCTGATCTGTTCAAAATTATGTTCTGCATCGAATGATATGCTGCTCAAAGAGATTAGTCATGCAGTTGCCGGACTACAGGCAAAATATAAAATGTAAAGCTTTTTAGGATCTGGACGACATTCTCAAAAAAATGAAGCCCTAACTAACGGCATTAAAGTTGCCGAGAAGGCTAAAATTTATCATTTACAGATGATTTGAAATGTATAATTTTCGCTGAAAAATAATTTTTCGACATGGCATACGATTTATCAATAAATAACTATATACCAACAGATTCTAATGCATAGTCAGGCATAGCAATTTTATCAGCATCATATCTCTTCAATGCATCTTCGACGATTGAGCTGACTTTCTGAAATAACAAAACATAAAAAAGAATAATATTCTCTTAAACAAGAACATCACGAGGCGTACCTTTTCATCAAAAAATGATAAAAAACTACTACTATGTAAAGTCTGTCGTTCCGTCAACCGCGTAAGATCTTGTTCATAATCTTGACGAAGAATGAAATGTTGCGATAACCAATCATTAACCTAAAAATGCAAAAAATGGAACGCCTTTGAAAATAGAAAAGTGTTTACCTCAGAGTTTAGTGAAGAAGCCGGCATCATACATTGGATAGGAATCTTGCTAAATTGAAATCAGATTTTGTAACAATGCTGTCTATCAACATCATATATATCTGTTATGGTTACATACTTTGACTTACAAATTGTAGTAAGTTTTCTCATGTAAGTATCTATTTCATCTCGAACTAATTGTCTTAATTGTAATTCATAGTGGTTATTTTCTACTGTATCTATTAAACTAGACCAATCCAACTTATTTGAAAAAATTTTGTAATTGTGAAAAATCCATGCATTCGATGGAATAAAGATTAGCCAAACAACTGAAAATAAACACATAAAGTTAACTATGGGAGTTAGACTCGCAGAAGCATGTGTAAGCAGCAAATATATAGACGTGAACAAAGGTCACTTACGAAGCAAAAAGCCAAGTGTGAAAAGAATCGTATGTGTTATTAAATTATCTGTTAAAAATAGTCTAGGAAGAGTTAGAAAAGTAGATAGTTCTGTAAGATATAAAGATATGAGTATCAAGCAAAAGGTCACGTACATTTTCTTTGTTATTTGCATTTGATCACCTTAAAAACAAATGAAGTTTTTCAATACAGCAAAACAAATTGGAAACCAGGAGAAATTATTTTACTGATTCCATTTATTGAATCCATCTCATTGGTCGAAACATACACTGTAAAAATAAAGTGTATTACTAGATGTGTAAATCTTCTAAACGTTTACTCGACATCGAAAAGTGTATACCTTCTCTAGATGGTCAATCTCGGTGTGTAAAGAGCTAGGTGTGCTAAAAAGATTTCTTATTTTCCATTTTTCTCCCGAACTACTGTATCAAATGAAAAAATAATTTCAGAATCATGATCACCATCTTCGAAAGCATATATGCTATCATTTCCAGCAAAAACGCATGAGGAAAAAAAGTGAAAAAAAAGTATCGCCATATGGTAGATTTGAGCAATCGATTGATGAATCTGAGGTATTTCCAGCATAGATAGTTTAGACAAGTAGAGTATATTATTGATCTCAGTGTGTAGAGCCAGACGGTCACTTCTCAGTGTGTACTATACATACCTACGCTGTGCATTCTAGATGGTCACTGGGAATCAACTTAGCGTTCACTTTATGTGTGTCATTTACACACTTTATTTTTTACAATATACGCACCACGAGTGCGAGACATTCTCGGATTCTATAATGGTATTCTTCGTTTAATTGATTATATAGTATGCAAGAATATAACGCCAGCTCACGTATCAACATGAATTAAAAATTAAATCCGTCCCGCTGTTGTCACACGAAAAAAATCAAACATTCAAAAACATTATCCAAGTTTTGAAGAATCAAAATTCTATTTACCAAAAGTATTTTGTGCTAAATATTTATCTGATAATATTGAATTTAGTGAAAACTAACGCCCTTGACGATCGAAGGTAACCGATAAAGTTACTACATGGATTATACTTAATTCATTATTCTGAGAGAAAACAATAGAATTTTATCTAGAAAAACACGTGCAGTAAGTATTAGTTTCTTAAAAAAATTAACTCAAATAGGCTTCTCCACAAATGATAGAATGAGTTATCAGTGTTTAAAATAAAATAAAATAAAAGAAATTACTCAAAAATCACGTTAGAAAATAAGTTGTCATTAAGATAGTTAATAAAGTAACAGTAAAAATGAAACTATGCGTGTATGTAATACGATTGAATGGTAAGTGGTTCAACAATAAGTAAAATTCTTTCATTTTATCGACATACGTGCACACCTGTGCCAAACAAAAACTATTATTCCGCTCATTTGTGCCGTATAAGCAGAGGTGCAGAATCTACCCGTGAGACTGGAAAATTTCTCGTGACAGAAAAAGTTTGTCAGAAAATTTTCTGACATAATCCAGGAAATGTTCAATATTTGATACTTAAAGTGTTTTAAACATCCATTTGTTAGTTTGAAAAATCTTATATTAAATATGATTTATACTTTTATTATCATCGTTTAAATTAACATAACAAAGCGATCAGTACACACACAGGCAACAGGCTCGAGAGGCTGCAGAGATCCAAGCCTCACTTTCCGTATGGATAGGCTAAGACCTCACCTGTTTTTCGACTTAACGTTTCGTTAAAATACGTAGTTTGATCCATATATACAGAATAGAGAATGAATTCTCTTGACTTGAACAGTATTTAGTGCGATTTTGCATCGAAGAATGAACAGAGAAGACAGTTTTCGGTGCTTGTTAGATGATGTCTATTTTTTATTGATTTACCTGTTGTTTTATTCGTATTCACTCCGAAATTCTTTGCCGATCCGACCGTCGAAAGCTAGTCGCATGACTTTATAATCTTGTACTTGAACCCACATTTGCATTTATATTTTATCTCATCTTAATTTGGTGTCTTGTAAATTGGATTAGTGTTTAATTTTGAAAATTTTTTGAATACGAATCAGATTTATGAGAAACGAGACCAAACTCAGATGAGATGTGAACGTACAGGTTTTACATTCCTTTTCAACTATACAGATGATTCTATATTTGATTCTTGCATATAAGGATGGATTATAAATTTGAATTTTTTCTATAGTCCTTTAAGCGGTTATCATATTTAATCCATGTGACTTTATGGATTAGATAGTACAAATGTATATATTTTTTTAAAAGATAATTAATCATCAGCTATAACACTGCAGTGCAAAGAGTAGAGATAAGATTAAGGATCAGTTTCTGGTAGTTTTTGGCAGGTCAACCCGTGACTAATCTCAAATTTGATTTTAATCCATCCAAAATGTTTGCTATAGTGTTAATATGACAATATGAAATTTTCAACTCAAACGGATGGATTTTACAAACGTTACAGCTGAAATAGCAAAAGTCATTTTTTAAGAGTTGAGATGCTCACTGATCAATAAAATGGAATGTTTCAATAATGATCCATTCAGTCGATGAGTTTTTTGTACAGATAGATAGAAGAGAAAATGGACAACAAATCGTTATTGAAACATTCCATTCTATTGATCAGGGGCCTGTTTCTTAAAAAAACTTAAGTAGAAAATCTGACTTAACCCTTTCCAGCCTGATGTTGCCATTTGGCAACACTTTTTGCTGTGTTTTTGAAACAGCCGGCTGGAAAGGGTTAAGTCAAACTTAAGTCCAAAAAAGTCTTTGTCTTTTTTGACTTAAGTAAGATTTTCTACTTAAGTTTTTTAAGAAACAGGCCCCACTGAGCATCTTAACTCTTAAAAACATACATTTGTACTATCTAATCCATAAAGTCACATGGATTAAATATGATAACCGCTTAAAGGACTATAGAAAAAATTCAAATTTATAATTCATCCTTATATGCAAGAATCAAATATAGAATCATCTGTATAGTTGAAAAGGAATGTAAAACCTGTACGTTCACATCTCATCTGAGTTTGGTCTCGTTTCTCATAAATCTGATTCGTATTCAAAGAATTTTCAAAATTAAACACTAATCCAATTTACAAGACACCAAATTAAGATGAGATGAAATATAAATGCAAATGTGGGTTCAAGTACAAGATTACAAAGTCACGCGTTCTTACAGTCACTCACTGTAAAAAAAATGCGACTTAGAATCAAATTAAGTCGCATTAATGTGCCTTACTCTGTAAAAATAAGACTCTAACTGCCAATCAGTTGATTTCAGGCTCCAAGCCTTTACTGAAATTAATATATGGTTCGTCTACCCAACCCAATGCCAACATTCTGGGCATGAAAAGCAAAACAATCTGATTCTACAGTTGTACAGCATGGAATGGAGAAAAATATATCAGCGACCAGCGTTCCCCCTGAAGTATATCACTGCCACTGCACCAAAATGCATTCAGTAGAAGTGTCCTGTCACTCTAAGAAGTTTTTGTTTTGATAAAGACTGTAATGATTTTTCCTTCGTTTGTTTATATATTCAGTCATTTACTAGTTATATTCTAATTATTTCGTGCTTGTTTCACACTATAGCCATGAATTTTTCCCGTCGAAGATGGCCGCCAGCAAATAATTCCGATTCGTTAAATACGAACTTATCGATTTATCCTCAATTCTCAGAAATTGAAATATTTCCGACGTCGCTGCCGAAAATTTGTTTTTATCGATTTACTCTCAAAAATTTACTATTTATGAAGCAGGGGGTTGTTTCACAGAAATTCTTAAGTCGCCAACTTAAGTCTAACTTAAGTTAAGTCTATGACTTAAGAAATTCTGTGAAACACTCAAAATTAAGTCTAGCTTAACTTAAGACAAAACGGAGACTTAAGTATGACTTAAGTCTAAGTCGAAGACTTAAGAATTTCTGTGAAACACCCCTCAGTCCACTAAATTTTATCAGACACCTATCTTATCCTCATAAAAAGGATCAAAATCAACATAATATTCGCCTTTCCAGGCTGCGGTTATTTCATTTTGCAGATTTTAGAACTAATATTATTCAAGATACCCCCGCTACCCATCAATTGACGCCTATTTTTTATGGTAGTATGAAACAAGCTTAGACCTTGTTCAGGCTCCGATCTTTATACAGTTAACTTTCACGCCAATCAGTTTTGTTAAGACAAAGTTAATTTTTCTAGTCTGGACAAGGGTTTATTTCGTTTTAGTTTTCGCTATATAATCGTTTCGCTTTATTTGTCCGTCATCCTGTAAATTAATATTATGGCTTCGGATCCTATGAAAAGCATGGCAAATTTTTTTTTTTTTCCTTGATCGTTATCGCTCAAAATAAACCGTCTGTTCTTGTAAAGTAATAACTGGACGACTCTAACTTGACTTTAATTGAGATTTTATTATATAAGCAGAGCTTCGTACTCCCATCTATTCGTGGTAACAGCATAGAGGCAGACGATTTGTTTGAATGGCACAGTCATATGGGAGTCTAAATATTACTAATAAGAGAGACCAGTCAGTTAGCGCAAATTCATTTGCCTTGCTGAAGATATAACAGCCAGACTTGCGAGGAAATGCAGTAATACAAATTCAACTATCTTCTTACAAATCGATGTCGGTACACCTAAACGGAAAAGCAACTGAACTTTCTTCGCTTTAAAAATACATCAGTGCGTCCTATTTCTACGTTAGTGCTTCCTTTAGCATCCTTCTTAGGACTTTTCTTTCCGCTTTATCTCTTCGTTATGATTTTAAAAAAGGTCAATAGTTGAACAAAGGGCGCTGCTCCTATCTTATATTTTTTATGGTCTTTACAAGACTAGTGGCGTTGATATGGTGAAGTCTTATTTATCAATGTCTTCGTAACCTAAAACGTTATTCTCATAACTTTCATACGTTTTGTAAGGCTAGAGATCTTGTTCAATCTATATACCACCATGAAAAAGTTTCGTATTTCTTTCTCTAATTTCTTTAACATATAGTCCTCGCAAGATTTGGAAATCATTAAGAAAGAGTCTTTATATTCCTCTTTATCGATTTAACACCTCTCTTTGTTGCAATAATTGTTTGCTCCGATTTAAAACTAAGCTACAGTGGTATCAAAATTTTTGCGACGTTTGGCTCCGGTTTTGATCTAATCCTCCCTGCTTTATGAGCTTGGAGCAACCCGAGCGACCACTGCTTGAAGCTTATCAAAATTAATACAGTTGGCTTCTCTAAACTGAATATTGAATGCTTACTCCAGCACTTGATCAACAGTCGGCGGAATGTATTCTTTTCTCTCTCAATCTGCTAATATTTCTCTTCGTGCCAATTTTCTAGCTCTATAAAAAATTATATAAGTTGTTCTTCTGCATAAGGAGAGAGCTCTGGCCAATGTTTCTAACCAAGTTAAGTTGGGTCTATTGTTCTGTCTGTTTCTTTCTGTTATTTTCAAAATATGTAGGCATTTTGTTCATAGCTTTCTACCTTCCATCTTTCCAAACATTGCTTTTTTTTTAAAATAAATTCTATTGTTGTCGTAAATATGCACTCTCGATACTTTAATGTTCTTGTCTTCAACTATCTCTAATTTTCGGAATTCTAGTGTAAAAAGTGTTGTTATGTCTTGTGACTTTTCAGAAGCTTTCTGACTATGTTTTCCATTGTTTTTTGATAGGAATACTGTCTCGTTGTGTTGTAAGGTAATCTCTTTATCGATAATGTTTTTGTAATTGTTTCATAACCAGATGGAGTGATCATACCGGAGATATTTCATTGGTCTATGAGCGAATGCTGATGAGTTTTTGGTTAAGCACTAGTTGAGATTCGACGTTGAACGTATCTTGTATCCTTTTGAAAATGATCGTTCGTTTTCTCTTTTCTGTTGTTAATTCTATAGACAAATTTGCTGCTCATGTTATCTCGTGAACTCAATCATAATGTTTCTAGTTCTTTTGTTGCTTAATTTTCTCTTCGAAATCCTTTACATCGTCGTAATTATTCCAGACTTATAAATTTCTTTAAAGATTTATCAATTCTTAGCCGTCTTTCCATTTTTTACGCGATTTTTCTCAATATTCTACTTTATGCTCTCACCAATTCAAGTATATTCGTATTCCTTCTTTTACTAACGGTTTTTCTCCTCAAACAGTATGTTCCTTTTTTTTTGGTCTACAACTATCGGCTGAAACAATCTTCCAAAATCGATCATTGTTTGTTCTGTTTTACTATCTTTCAAAAAAAGCATTTTTCCGTTCCCTTCCTTCTTAAATTTTAGTAATATTACATTATTCTTAGCTCCTTCTTTAATAATATAATGTTCTTATTTGTCTTGCTTGTTTTATATACTTTTCAAGTTCTTATTTTTTTATCTATTTCTACTGTTTTTCTTGTTATCTGGTTATTTGTTTGGCAAGGTCATCGTGCCACAGTCGGAGACCTTTTATTATCTCTCACTCTTTGTGAATAAAGTTGAATTAACTTAATGTGTCTCTGGAGAGACGTTTTTTCTAGATTGTAGTAATGTAATTATTTTTTCAAATTTTCTCCTTACTTACCGTATTTTTGACTTGAAGTCGAATTTTCGTTATCCTGTGAAATACCTATAGGTTCATATTAGAGGATGAGTTAAATTTTCGAAAAAAATTACCGGAATAAGGGCATCGCCAGTTATTTTTATTTTTCCATACCGTCTCACACAATATTAAAGAGACGATTTCTAGACCACACATTATAAACTGATGTCAAGTTTCTTGTCCCCAAACTTTTTTTTGTAGAAAACAAGTATCTGGGTTTCGTATATTAAGTAGGGCTGCTTCAAAAACGAAATTGATTTTTTCTAAGTAAAAAAGATGCATTTGAACTAGTGGTAAGTGTGATTTTTATTTATTTTGATGAATTGATCTACTTTTTCTTGCTTATTTTTTAGAATTATGGGAGTATGTGTCAGTTCAAATAGAGAGCGTCATGGTAGAAGTAGATATCGTCCAAATACTGGCACTATTAACGGAGGTATTGCAAAAGTGTTATCCTTTTTAAAAATCTTACTTGATAGACGTACTTGTATTTATTTACAGATGATACTCGGCTTTTCTCTTACATTTGCAGAAATATTTAAATGAACTATTTTCAATTCTATTTTAGTTAGCGTAGGTCGAAATAAACCGCTAAGTCGTACAAAACTAAAATGGAAATCTGATGTACCGTTGTCTGAAAATCAACTACGTCGAAAACGAGAGGAATTTTGGGATACAGGTATGTTGTCTATACTATCTATGTTAATTATCTAATTTCAAGCTTTTTTTTTCTTCTTCTAGCGCCTTCCTTCGAAGGACGGAAAGAAATCTGGGATGCTCTTCACGGTGGTGTGTATGCAATTGAACAAAACGATTATGATTTAGCGCAATCAAGTATGTCTCGTAGTAGTTGTGAGTGTTATACTATGGTTATATCGTATTTTTTATTTTCTTTAGTTATCAATTGTGCCAATATTACATGTCCATTTGGTATGTATTCATTCATTTTTTCTAGCTATTAGTTAAAGCAGATATGATATTATATCAATTTTAGGTTCACTTCTTGATTGTTATGATGAACTTGGTACACGTTATCAATTGCCTATTTACGTTCTTACTGCGCCAACAAACCTCGCTGACGAATCAAGTGATTCACCTGAAGGTGAATCAGGTATTAGTGAAACAGGTTTAGATCAAACAACGTCATCATCTTCACCCACATTATCTCGAATAACAAAATTAAAAAATCCTGTTGTACGTGAAATAAAAAAGCATCAGCATCGTCGAAAAAAATCGAGTGATTATAATGATTCATCAGGAAATGGTCAGACGTCGACAGTCAATGGAACAACGACAACTCCAACATCAGATATTAGTTTACCAATTAAATTTCGTTTATCAAATGGTAAAGAACATAAACTTCCTTGTAAACAACAAGAAAAGATTCGAAATATCAAACGACGTCTAGCAACTCTAGAAAATATTGATGCGCAATCACAACGTTTATTTTTTGGTGGAAAACAATTAAGTATGTTTTGAAAAATTGACTAGTTTTTTTCATTAGCTAAAATTCATTTTTGCATGTTTAGATGATCGTAATACGATTGAAGATATAAAATTACAGAGAAATTTTGTTGTCCAAGTGTTTATTACCAGTATAAATGACGCTCCCTTGCCGCCTGTAACAACAACAGTAGCAAATACATGCACGTCATTATCCAGTCAAAATGATTATTCAAACACATCACCTGCTGGATCAATTCCACCATTAAAACCATCCGAAGGCCATCACACAATTAAATATTGATGTTACTGGACATAAATAGAAAAAGGAAAATGCTCAAAATTTCTAATTCTTTAATCCGTGTCGATTCTATATTTTGAATGTAAATAATAACCTTAAAGTTTTTTTCCTTTTCCATTCAACAAACGAGTTATATCTGTTGGGTGTCTGTATATAGATGGAAAAAGAAGGAAGAATTCTCTGCCTTACGGTTCTCGCTAATATTACAGAATACCGACACAATTTGAGAGATTTATCAGTTTTAATTAGTCTAATATCTACCGTACGAATAATTTTAAAAGATGATCATTCATCTTTTTTGTTATCGTCAACTATAGCTAGCTATACAGATTTCTTTCGCATAGACATGAGTAACTTGTCTAAGTTTACACGATTTGATGTTGGAAGTTCGAATACTGCATCTTAGAAGTATATGACCATCCATATAAGCGTCAAATCACATCGTCTTCTGTGTGTGAGTGTATTTTTTTTTCTTTTTTTCTGAATAAGTCACATATTGATCTCTGAAACAGTGATCTAAAAGAAAAATTCTTTTGATTTTTTTACATATCTCTGTTGACTGTTGTTGTTGCTATTGGGGCATATTTTTCTTAAATTCGCAATACGTATCTACTTCGTTTCGCTCAAATAGTCATTGTATTTCTCTGCTTCCTTCGTACACTTGCAGTGGTATTTTCTTACCTACAGAATTATTTTAACAAACTATTTTCTATCTTTCTTGTACAGTCTTCGTCACATTTTCTTTTTTTGTTCAAAAAATGTGTAATTGTTTGTTCGAAACAGGAAATACGAAAAATTAATTGTTTTTTTATTTGTTTCTAGAAGTTGTTAGAAATGACAAATGTTAAAATAAGATAATTTTTGATATTTGCCTATGGCTACCTATTCAATCAAAAAGCAATACTTTTGTAACAGTAAAATATGATCAGAATAAAAAAACGTGTTTATTTGCGTTCGGCAATGTGCTTGTCGTTATAATATTGCTTTCTCAGTAGTATGTAGTAATAGATCCTTCTCTAAATTAAATAGTCAAACGTTGCAGATAATTTGCCTTCAGAGTTGAAGTAATTGTGAACATCATTTAGTAACGTGGTTTATTTGACAACATACGTCTTACTTATTTTTATTCTAGACGATCCACTATGTCTGAATTATCCGATCTTGATCGTCAAATTGAACAATTACGTCGTTGTGAATTAATAAAAGAAAGCGAAGTAAAAACATTGTGTACAAAAGCACGTGAAATATTAACGGAAGAAAGCAATGTTCAGTGTGTTGATTCACCAGTGACAATTTGTGGCGATATACATGGCCAATTCTTTGATTTAATGGAATTATTTCGTGTTGGAGGTAAGAAAAACTATTCGTCCAACTATATCTCTTAAATAACTTATAATATGTGTATTTTATAGGTGATGTACCGTTAACAAATTATTTATTTTTGGGTGATTTTGTTGATCGTGGTTTTTATAGCGTTGAAACATTTTTGTTATTATTAGCATTAAAAGTACGATATCCTGATCGTATCACATTAATACGTGGTAATCATGAATCACGACAAATTACACAGGTATACGGTTTTTATGATGAATGTTTAAGAAAATATGGAAGTGTTATGGTATGGCGTTATTGTACAGAAGTGTTTGATTATTTAAGTTTATCAGCTGTTATTGATGGTAAAATATTTTGTGTTCACGGTGGTTTGAGTCCATCGATCAATACATTAGATCAAATACGACAAATCGATCGAAAAATGGAAGTACCACACGATGGGCCCATGTGTGATCTATTATGGTAATTTGACTTGAAAATAAAAGTTTGCATTCTTAAGTACTTCTTTGAAAGGAAACTTATTATTTTTCGCTAGAAAAAATTCGTCTTTTTTCGTCTGTACATTTTTCTCTCTCAAGGCAACCCTTTGTCCTTAGTTCGAGCCATCATACTAGAAATTCGGGAAAAAGATGATTTGATAGTAAACCAGCTGTAGATGAACACTATGAAGTTATTTTTTTAATATTTGCTTCAACAATCGAATAATTAGGCTAACAATAGGAAATATTTTCAAAAATGAGAGTAAATACTTTTTGAATTCAAAACATTCATGAATCGTATTTTCTACTCTCTTTTCTGCTTTAGTAGAAAACAAAGACACATTTTGTTTGACAAGCGTTAGATAAACGAATCTACTTTTGAAGAGTACGTTTTTATAGTAACATTACGATAATATCAGTGGCGAGTTTAATAATGATAAAGATTTCTTTTTGTTCACTATTGCAGAAACTATTCAATGGCACAACTAACAAGACTCTCGGTCTTAGTGCTGCTTAACTTGTTATATGAAAATTTCTTAATTTTGCTCATTTCATCCGTTTCATGACCGTATACAAACCTAAAGATCAATCAAACTTTCAATGAATACTTTCAATGATTTTAGTTATCCTTAAAATTTCATGCAATCGATGCGCATTATAGGTAGTTTCTAGTATTTGTTCTGCTTTTTAGGTCTGATCCAGAAGAAACACAAGGTTGGGGAGTTAGTCCAAGAGGTGCTGGTTATCTGTTTGGTAGCGATGTTGTCTCACAATTTAATCAAACAAATAATATAGATCTGATATGTCGAGCACATCAACTCGTTATGGAGGGCTATAAGTGGCATTTTAACGAAACGGTGCTAACAATATGGTCTGCACCAAATTATTGTTATCGTTGTGGAAATGTAGCGGCGATATTAGAATTAGATGAACATTTAAATAGAGGTTTCACAATATTTGAAGCGGCACCACAAGATCAACGGTCGTCAGCAACGAAACGTGTAGTACCAGATTATTTCTTATAATAATTTTCTATATGGTTCTTCTTTTCTTTTTTGTGAATGATAATTGTGTCGTTTTATTTAGAATTAATCTTAACTTTCGCCATTCATTTCTTAAACATCATTTGTATTGTTTGACTCAATTTGTGGGTCATCTATTGTAAAGATTGAAACATTTTCATTACGTGTATTTTTTTGCTTTCTGTAATAAAAGAATAAGTTAGTTTTATTTTTATCTGTTCAAGAATAATACTAAAGATTTTGAGACGTAACGGATTGTAATAAGAAAAAGTAGTACGAAAAATTGTTTTGGATGTTTCACTTTTTATTACTGGTCAGTATACTTGAATTTTTCCTTATCAAACATGCGGTTGCAAAATGCATGGGTCCAAAATTGCAAAGCGTCCGTGGGAACAAATTTTTATTTTTTGCAAAAATTCGAGACCATGTACAAAAGATAATAAACTGAGAGTAAACAAACTTTTACATTATGAAAGCCTATTGAAGAGGTTTCTTCTGAGTATGAAAACATCTGTGATTTCTCGAATAATCGAGGAATGTTTGAGGTTACAGAATAACGAGAAACGATTTAAGTCAATAATAACTTTTTAAATCTCTTTTTTTCTTATATGGCTGACTTCCGACATATCGAAGAGAAATCAAAGATTGTCGTGATCTTTTTAACGCTAGAAAGACATGCGAAACATATTTTTTTCTACAAGTATTTAGCCTGTTGACAGCTTTTTCTATTCTTTTCGTGCACGAATAAAAACAACATGATATAGAGAAAGTATAAAATTGATAAATCTTTAAAATCAACAGCGCTCTGTTGAAATACCACCCCCATAATTTTAAGGAAATGACAAAAAAACTGAGATTATGCAGATCACACAGTAAGTACAAAGAAAATATGTAAAAGCAGTTAATAAGTCAAGTAAAGTACGATTTTTTAAGTAAATCGTAAAGTAAGGTTTTTGGAGATTTTAACCTCAATTCTCATGAGTAGATCCGAACTCATGAGTAGATAGAAGCGAATGAAAACAACACCATCAAATCTAAATAGGTTTCAAACAGATAACTGCTGAAATGTTATTATTTCGTTCGCTATTATCTTCCCTTCAAACCGTTGCAAACTTAATTGAACTTCAAATCTTCAAAACTTGTGCTTTACTTGAGCTATTATTTGCTTTTACATACTTTCTTCAAACTTGCTAGTGAATTTAAAGGCTTCATTGCTGCACTTTGTTTATTACGTATATATTACAATCTTCTCTCTTCCATTCTACATGTTGAAAGTTTTAATCATTTAATACAATTGAGAATATAAACTGTAATTTTTTGCATGCAACGAAACTGTTTTGAACTTCGAAGCGTCATTTTTTTAACAATAGAATGACAATAGACGTTGATATAATTGATGTATAAATGTCACTCAGAAAATCAAATTCTGCGTAATAAGATTAATAAAGAAAAGAATGTTAAAACGATTATTACATAATATTTATTAGTTTTTTTAGGCTACACTTCTCCGAGACATTTTAGTTCTTTTTACTATACGTTCACTAATTTGTGATAGAAAGCGGAAGAACGTATTCTTCTTAAAAGCGAATAAACATATGTCAAAAAATGGCAGTTTTTCTCTTATGTCTTTCATTCTGTTTCTCTTAACATATGTTTGAAATATTTCTTATAGCTAACCCGTAACATGACCCATATGTATACAATGTTTAATTATTTATCTGCACTAATTATGATAAAACTGTAGTTTGTTGTTTTCTTTTAACCATATTAAGTTGAAAAGCGAACATAATGACTGACATGGAAAAGGAGAGTTACATATAAATAATCTCTTATTTATACCAATCAATGCTTGATTAAGTTCGACAAAATTATGTAAGATTAATTATTTTTCATATCAGTATAACTCATAGAGAGAATCTGTCGCGCTAATATTTGATTAAGAAGAATATTCAACGCATCTAAATCAGAAAACTAAATTTTCATAATTTTCCTTTTGATCAATCTAATTATAAATAATTATTCAATCATGAGGAATGTTTAAATGATTTAGTCATGAGCAAATTTTTTATCATAGAATGTAGGCGTTATCACTCTTTCTTGCTAACAATTTGTGTTTTTTTTTTTTTATATTCTATAATTCGTTTTTTCTTACGTGTGATGAGACTTTGTGTGCGTGCATTAACTCAGTGGGTATAAGCTGAAAATAAATTTTTAGTTTCAAACATATTCTCTTATATGAATAGATTATACATTATCTTTTTTTTGTCTTATAATCAACGACATTAACGTTTATAGTAACAATTATTATGCTTGATTTACTCGAATAGAACGTTTGTGTTTATGTAATACTAATACAAATTCAGTTAGATTAACTAGAAGAGAGACAAGAATCTGTTTCGATTAACGTTGGATAGTCTCTTTCTACAATGTTGAACGTCAAAGTGTAAACTAATCTTCGAAACTTAATCATAAAATTTGTCTCTAAGTATATAGAATATCTGTATGATATTTGTCGAAATAGATTTTTGTAATAATTCTCGAGGAAAAAAGAAATGAATAGCCGTCGGTTATTAATACAAATATCCTTTAGTTTTTTTTTTTTTATGAAACTTTTTTATATACATACTTTTCTTTTCTTACGAAAGTGTGTGAGTGATGATGGAGAGATGAATTAATGTGTTTTTTTTCTTCTCCATCTAAAGCTGTAATTGAGTGATAAAAGAAAAGAGACAAATGTACTCGCTTGAGATTAGTATAATGTATTTGAAATACATGGATGTCGAATTACAAAAGATAATCTACCACCTAGTTTAAGCTGTCGGTGTGAGAAATACTGTTATAAAGTAGCTTTTTAATTCAAATAAGAAATAAAAGATTTTTGTTGCATTAGTTATTTTGAATTTTTACATCAAACTATTTGTCCTGTTGAAAGATTTTTTCAATATCTATCAACTTTATTTTCAGATGTATTCATAACTTAAGATGAACGTTTTCCGAAAAAAATAGTTTAACTTGGTGTGAACGAACTAATGAATATATAATGAATACTTTATCTATTCGTGATCTCTGCTGTTTATTTTGTTGTCCTCCGTGTCCTTCACGAATTGCTGCAAAATTAGCATTTCTTCCCCCTGAACCAACCTACACATTAGTTGCAAGCAATCTGTCGACATCTCCGACAGATGTAAATGGTACTCAACATTATCCACAACAACAATCATCCACTAGCGATGCTACGACAAAATATACCATAAATTTTACTGATCGTGCCGAATGGCAACATTCAAATACTGAAATGTCCCTGTTAGAACCTTATTATGTAACTACATCTCGAAATAATCGTATTGCTTGTTTATACATTAAATGTGTATCAAATCCAAAATACTATATCTTATTTAGTCATGGAAATGCTGTTGATCTTGGTAAATATAAATATTTGCTTGTTTGATATAAATAACTTGTTGTGATTTATATTTTTTAGGTCAAATGTCTAGTTTTTTTATTGTATTAGGTAAACGTTTGAATTGTAATATTTTAAGTTATGATTATTCTGGATATGGAGTATCTCAAGGAAAAGCATCAGAAAAAAATATGTATTGCGATATTGAAGCAGCATATCAATCATTAAAACAACGTTATCATTTGCATGAATCACAAATAATATTATATGGACAATCTATTGGTTAGTATAGAAATTTTCTTATAAAAAGTATACATTAATTGTGCTTTATATTTAGGTACCGTGCCTGTAGTCGATTTAGCATCAAGACATGGAGATTGTTGTTCAGCAGTTATTTTACATTCACCACTTACCTCTGGCATGCGTGTGGCATTTCCTGATACAAAACGAACGTGGTGTTGTGATGCATTTTCATCGATAGATAAAATTCATCGCATTAGATCCATTGTGCTAATTATTCATGGTACATATACATTTTTTTATAGTACAGAATCTACACACGCTCATGTCCATTCTTTTTAAGGAACGGAAGATGATGTTATTGATGTTTCTCATGGTTTTGCGTTATACAACAAGCTTCAAAATTCAATAGAACCATTATGGGTTGAAGGTATGTTATTACTTGAATTTTTCGAAGAATTGCAATACTCTTATAAATTTCAAATTTTTAGGTGGTGGTCACAATGATATTGAAGTGAGTTCATTCTAAAAATGAGACTATTAATAAAAATGATCGTCTATTCTCACTTATTTTAGGCGCATGGTCAGTACGTTGAGAGATTATTAAAACTCATAGATGAAGAGGTGCCACAATTATTAAATCAACAACAAGTATCTGCTTCAAAGCCACATCAACAAACAGCACAAATACAATTAGCATCAACATTAATCATACCGACAACTGTTACTCCCTCAACTACCAATACAAATCATCATTCACCATCTACAACGACAACAAACACAAACTCAAATACCATTTAATTATTTTTTATGTATTTGTGTCTTCTGTTCGCACTAAGATTTATATGCAAAAACTCTTTTTCTTCAACTATCTTCTCTTTGATAAAATTTAAAAGATTTTTTTGGTTTTCTTTTTGTTTTGTATCAATTAGGTCTGATATTGCCTTGTGATTGGATCATCTATGTTAAATTTCTTATTTTTTTAAATATTTATTTTGGTGATCATTGCCTTTTCTTGTACTATCAAAATTTGTTTAAAAAAAAAAACTTGGATATTAATTTTAAACAATTCTTATTGTCATATAAGGACAGTTTTTGTTTTGAATAAACAAACTTTGTCTATAATAGTCACTCGATATAAGGCTATTCAAAATAATATCTACAATTTACTTTAACTTATTTTTAAGCATTTTTTTTGCTTTAAGTATTCAGTGCACGACTATTGATTACATTTTTATTTCACTAAAAGTATACTATTATCCACAATGTGCTACAAAAGATTGATCATATCTTTAATCATTCGAATTTTTTTTTTTTGCTATTGTTGTGAATAAATAATGATTTTTCTAGAACATATTATTTAATAGTTTATAGTGATTTTATGTTCAACAGTTGCTCATTTGAAACAAAGAAAATAAAGAAGAACAATATCTTTTGACAATCAGATTCTTTTTACTTTTTTTTTTTCGATTATTGACGCACATACGTCTGCTACCTAGTTTTATATGTATTTTTTTATCTGTATAATCTCATTGTTTTAATCAACAAAAAAACATTGAATGTGCTTTTTTATTTTCCACTCCGTTTTATCCACATGTGCAATGTAAATATCTTCGGTTATTTTATTGTTTCTTGCTTAACTTTGCGCGTTAAATGTGTGCGTGTGTTTGTTTGTTTTTGTTAACCCGCATCTAAATGTTCTTTTTCTCTTTTGGAAAAAGTGAAAATAAACTTTTCTACAGTTGTGTTATTTTACAACTGTTTTCTTTGATTGTTTTTTCTGAAATGATTTTAAGAAAATAAACTAATTGATAATTATCGATATTTAGACTATCGGCACGATTTTTCTAAATGGAGAACTCATTTGTCAAAAATAATTTTATATTGCACTTTTTTTTCTTACACTGCACTGTATTTCAGCTATTTTTTCACGCAAGAAAAGATCAGTTTCTTCACATTCTACATCTGCAAGTATGAAGCTTGGCAAAGTAAAGTATGACAATTAGTATTAAATGCTAAAATGCATTTTTTGGTTTTAGCACTACAATCAGACCAGCTAGGTGATATTACTTAAAATGATGCATTACGATAATTGCGTTTCAACAAGAATTAATATTGCACCATTGCAAAATTCTTTTTAATTCATTCATTCGCTATGTTCATATGACAGCGTTGATTATGATTAAGATGAGTCATACATTAGAGTTAACTATGAGTAAGGATTTAACAATGTGACGTGATTGTTCTTAATTATAATTGATGATTATTCTCGATAAAAGATCACTGTGTATCGAATCATCATTACTGCTGTGGATCATGATATTTGCACAAGCTATGAGTGAATGGCATAGTGATTGTACTGTTCATTTTCTACATGTAAAAAGAGAATAATTTCTTTTGCGTTGAAGCAGTTTTAAAAATATTTTTCTGTTTGTTTTGTTTATATACACTAGGCTTAATACTGTGTTAGAAGTCAACGTTTTGTTTTCTATAGTTTACGAGATATAACTCTTGTATTTCGGCGTTCATTGATCTTTGGCACTGTCTACTAAAATAAAAACGGATGTCCGATGAGATTTCAAAGCGTAATCTCGAACTAAAGAAAAAACTGGAAATGATTGTTCATCAGTAGAATCGATACAGCTTTGAGTGCATAACAAATTAATGAGGAAATAAAATTGGAAAGCACTTTATTTGTACAAAAAATTCTATTATATTGTTGGAAATCCCCACAAAGTGTCCGGTGAGATTTTCGATTTTATTTTTTCGATATCTCGATAAAGAATACTCCAATCAAGATCAAACTTTGGTCATTCTTAGATCTCATGAGGTTTGTTATTTGATAAAAAATGAATCTGTAATACTGCATTATCGAGAAATTTTTTTGAAAAATACGCGAAAATGTCCTGTGGGATTTTCAAGAAAGAAATATCCAATGAAATTTCTAAATTCTTATTGTCAATGAGAATAGAAACAAAATTCAACTTATTATACACCGTTCAATTCGTCTGCGTGTGCTTTATTCAATCGTGAAGCTCAAAAGTATCAGTTTCGCAAGTACGCGTTTTGACTATCAAAACTCACCTTTCGATTACAAATTAATCTTTTCGACATTTTTTATCGAAAAGTCCAGGAGATAAAGTTTTAAGAGTTGCATCGGCCGATTCAGCTCATCGAGATCTGTCGGTTAATGTATAATACGTATTACTTTTCCCAACTATAACGGAATTTTTTCCCCAATTATCTTAGAAACGGTATACATTGAAAACAGCGAAAGAAAAATGTCGAAGGAATTATTAGAACAACTGAGACGTTTTATCTTACAGCTCTGAAGTAATTCTCCGATAATTCATAGGAAAGATGTAGAATTCTATACATTTAAACTTTTTGAGGGGGGTGTAAGAAAAAAAATTTTCTCCATGCGACCAGAAATAACGAAAAAAGATTTTAATTTCCGGTGGGAAGAAAGGGAGATGTACTTCCCCCCTCCCCCCCCGCAATTTACGGCCCTGTGCACAAGCATGTGATCGAATGGTGTAGTTAGCTCATTATGAAGGAACTCAAAAAATATATTTTTATTGGTGAAAAAGGAAAAAGGTTTTCTGATTAACACCTGACGTAGTAAAACTCAACCCGATGCACGAAGCATGTTTTGTAAGCACCTTATTTTTCAGATTATTTTTGCTAAATAGTACAATATGCCATTCACTCCTATTATTGCATTGAATTATATGACCTGAAAACCTAAGAAAAGGTTCATTCAATTGAAAGAGTGGCATAACACACCAAAAGGACTAGTGGAATTAACGACTATTTGAGATTGAGTTGCAAGTCTCTCTTTATTCATTAGCAATCACGAAGTTACTCCAGACAACTTAAACATAGTCGTATTTCCATGAAACAGGACAAACGGTGCATGGCGCTTCAAATTGTTGAAGATATAAACAAGAAGAAGAATAAAGGTGAATAATTGACATTCATTGACAAAAGAAAGCAAGAGATATTTGACAAACATTCTTCTGTTTTGGAGTATTCAGTGTATTGTTTAATATATAAATTATCATCAAGCATCTAAACAGGAGATTATCGTGACATTAAATGCGATTTGTCAATCACATGCTAAACATGATTAAGAGTTTATCCTGACAGTAACTAAATCATAATTACAGTAATCATCGCTCATGCTATCGAGTGGACCTAGTGATTGTCTTGAGCTCATGTTAGACATGCTGAGAAAATATATTCAGTTAGATATTTTTCTTTGTCACATAATTCGTATTCTATCAAAAAGAAATAAAGATTGTTTTTCGAAAACTTTCAATAGACTTTTGTTCCATTATATAAACAATAACAAAGATATAAAGGACATGTTTGTTCTTATAAGCACTAAAAAGATTTCAGTTGTGTCAACAATTTCGACTCGATATTTTTACCTATTGTTAATCGAATAAAAATTGACTCAGTCAAAGTTGCAGGTTAATATTAAAAAAAATGAATACATCACAAAATAGTTATATAACATAATTAAAATCCTGTAGATAGTACCATTTTGATACTTCAATGCCAAATTATAAATTATATTATTTTAACGGACGTGGACGCGCTGAAGTAACTCGTTTGATATTTGCTGCAGTTGGTCAAACATTTGAAGACATACGAATTGAAAAAAAAGATTGGCCAATCATGAAATATCAAACACCACTTGGTACTCTGCCCATTCTGCATGTCGATAATACAATAATTGTGCAAAGTAAAGCCATTGCAAGATATGCGGCACAACAATGTAATTTAGTCGGGCGTAGTTCCCTGGACGAAGCCAAAGTGAACGGTGTCGTCGATACGATGAATGATTTGACTGATAAATTTACGCAGAAATATTTTGAACTGAAAGACGAAACAGCGAAAGCACAAGGAAAACATCAATTGTTAACTACAGATAT